CATTAGGCCGTTTTTTTATATTGGGTGCTTTCATAGGACCCAATATAGGCCTTGTTTTGATAATTACTTACTTCATTTGCATGGAGTATTTGCTTATATATAATCTGAATGTTCTCTGCTTGGCACTTTCTTTTGTTAGTAATATACCTATACGTACTCTGGGAATGTCAAAGAGATATTTATTTCTGTCCCAATGTTTCAAGTGTACTATTACATCCATCTAGAAATTTATATTCAAATAACAGGATTTGAATTTACGTATAAGGCTTTGTAAATGTTGATAACACACAGAAGGTGTGTGTGTGTGTGTGTTTTCAAGGGACTTGAACTGAGGAGCTGTGTGTTGTCTGAAGACAAAATTTCTTGTAGTTCTGAGTGCTGATTTGAGCTGGGTGGAGATGAGCTCGAGGAAGTAGTTTGCAGTGGTTGAACCTTATGTAGAGATATTATAAGTTAGATGTGTCAAGGGGTATGGTTAGGTTAGGGGGAGATATTGTATGTGATTTTTGAGATTATACCAACTTTTATTTTTTTAGGCTTTTTGGGCTATGTTTATTATAATGGTGGTGATGAATAGTGTGTTAATGATTCATACTGTCCTAGTAGTACACATTGTGTTATTAATTCATATTTTACTAGTGATTACACTATGTGCTAGTAATACAACTTGTGCTAATCAGACATATTGCATTATTGATTTATTTTGTGCTATTGATGCATATTATGCTAGCAATACAATGTAATAGGGATTCATAGTGTGCTAGTGATACATATTGTATTATTGATTTATTGTGTGCTATTTGTACATATTGTACTGTTGATCCATACTGTGCTAGTGATTCATATTGTGGTAGTGTTACATAGTGCTAGTGACATAGTGTGGTAGTGCTACACGTTGTGCTTAGTGACGCATATTTACAGCACCATCAGCTGCATCATTGAGCAATAGTTTATTGTGAGAAAAGAAGGCTAATGAGTTGTGGTGGAGTGAGCAGCGGTGAGCAGCGGCAGCCCCCACACTACTCCTGGGAGGAGAATTTCACTGCAGCTGCTGGACACTGCACAAGATTAGCCATTTGTGACTCTTGTGCGTGTGACAGCGGCTATTGTGGAAAATCACTACCACCCGTCAATTGTTGCTACGTCACCCGTCCGCCAGCGCCACTCATCCGGTGGTGGCAACTGCTGGTACTTATCACCCATCCGCCAGCGCCACTCATCCGGTGGTGGCAACTGCTGGTACTTATCACCCGTCCGCCAGCGCCACTCATCCGGTGGTGGCAACTGCTGGTACTTCTCACCCGTCCGCCAGCACTACTCATCCAACCCGTCCTCTTTTCAATTACTTCGCTTCTCCCTCGTATGCGCACTCATGCTAAAAAAAAATATGTAATAAAAATGAAATTGGCTGATGAAATTGACCTACTGTCCCGTTTTCTGTTTTGGGTCCTCTGGCTTAGGCTGTTTTGTTAGGAGAGGAAAGTTTCAATTAATGTTTTTTTATAATGTTTTGAAACTTTAGGAGAACTTCCTGACCACCTAACCTACCAGAGGATCCTTAACTTGCTGTTTTGGGGAAAAATCCTAAATTAATTTTCAATTATTTTTTATTTTCAAAATACTGATTTTTTTTTGCCGTAGCGCATAGCGAAAAGCGACGTATGCGTAAGAGGACGGGTGGTACTGTTGGTACCTCACCCACCCCCCAGCACTACTCTTCTGGTGGTACCTCACCCACCCCCCAGCACTACTCTTCTGGTGGTACCTCACCCACCCCCCAGCACTACTCTTCTGGTGGTACCTCACCCACCCCCCAGCACTACTCTTCTGGTGGTACCTCACCCACCCTCCAGCACTACTGGTGGTACCTCACCCACCCTCCAGCACTACTGGTGGTACCTCACCCACCCTCCAGCACTACTGGTGGTACCTCACCCACCCCCAGCACTACTGGTGGTACCTCACCCACTCCCAGCACTACTGGTGGTACCTCACCCACCCCCAGCACTACTGGTGGTACCTCACCCACCCCCAGCACTACTGGTGGTACCTCACCCACCCTCCAGCACTACTGGTGGTACCTCTCCCACCCCCAGCACTACTGGTGGTATCTCACCCACCCTCCAGCACTACTGGTGGTATCTCACCCACCCTCCAGCACTACTAGTGGTACCCCACCCACCCTCCAGCACTACTGGTGGTACCTCACCCACCCTCAGCACTACTCTACTGGTGGTACCTCACCCACCTTCCAGCACTACTGGTGGTACCTCACCCACCCCCAGCACTACTGGTCGTATCTCACCCACCCTCCAGCACTACTGGTGGTACCCCACCCACCCTCCAGCACTACTGGTGGTACCTCACCCACCCTCAGCACTACTCTACTGGTGGTACCTCACCCACCTTCCAGCACTACTGGTGGTACCTCACCCACCCTCCAGCACTACTGGTGGTACCTCACCCACCCTCCAGCACTACTGGTGGTACCTCACCCACCCCCCAGCACTACTGGTGGTACCTCACCCACCCTCCAGCACTACTGGTGGTACCTCACCCACCCTCCAGCACTACTGGTGGTACCTCACCCACCCTCCAGCACTACTGGTGGTACCTCACCCACCCCAGCACTACTGGTGGTACCTCACACACCCTCCAGCACTACTGGTGGTACCTCACCCACCCTCCAGCACTACTGGTGGTACCTCACCCACCCTCCAGCACTACTGGTGGTACCTCACCCACCCTCCAGCACTACTGGTGGTACCTCACCCACCCTCAGCACTACTGGTGGTACCTCACCCACCCTCCAGCACTACTGGTGGTACCTCACCCACCCTCCAGCACTACTGGTGGTACCTCACCCACCCTGAGCACTACTGGTGGTACCTCACCCACCCTCCAGCACTACTGGTGGTACCTCACCCACCCTCAGCACTACTGGTGGTACCTCACACACCCTCCAGCACTACTGGTGGTACCTCACCCACCCTCCAGCACTACTGGTGGTACCTCACCCACCCTCCAGCACTACTGGTGGTACCTCACCCACCCTCCAGCACTACTGGTGGTACCTCACCCACCCTCCAGCACTACTGGTGGTACCTCACCCACCCTCCAGCACTACTGGTGGTACCTCACCCACCCTCCAGCACTACTGGTGGTACGCCACCCACCCTCCAGCACTACTGGTGGTACCTCACCCACCCCCAGCACTACTGGTGGTACCTCACCCACCCTCCAGCACTACTGGTGGTACGCCACCCACCCTCCAGCACTACTGGTGGTACCTCACCCACCCTCCAGCACTACTCCCCTGGTGGTACCTCACCCACTGACTATCCATTAATGATGGTCTCAGCTGACCGCTTACAACTGCAGCCAGTTATACCGTCAATCATCCGTCCATGGTCCAGTCCAAGTCTGCCACAAATGCACCACGAGTCTTCAGTCTTCAACTCGCCTATTAAATTAGATCCGAATCATATTCTTACCATGTGTCGTCAGCATTATGACTTTTTTTACAATCTCTGTATTTCACTGCCACGACCATCATGTCACTCGTGTGCTCATTGTGTCACGTGTGGGGTGCACAAATGTTAGTCTTATCCAGAATAAATGCATAAATAATTAAATTCAATCTCATTGTAGTACAGTTGGGTTTGTCCTCTACTCAGATCCTGGCCGGGACAGAAATGGTTGGGAAATTCTTATAATACCTCTGTTCACCTAGTAGTGAATAGGTATCCTGGAGGTAGTTCAGGGTACCTGGAAAATACTGACAAACATTTGCTAGTCTCTTCCCCGGCTTTGTGATTTTTGTCAATTACCACACCAGGTGCCAGATTCACGTAGTAGTTACGCAAGCACTTATGAACCTGTACATCTTTTCTCAACCTTTGGCGGCTTTGTTTACAATTATTAAACAGTTAATAAGCTCCGAAGCATCAGGAGGCTGTTTGTAACTAAAAGGTGATTGAACTTTTTTGTTTGTAAACTGCTTAATAAGTAACCAAAGCCGTCAAAGAATGAGTAAAGATGTACACTTTCGTAAGCACTTGCGTAACCGCTTCGTCAATCTGGCCCCAGGCTAGTTGATCATATTAGCCTCCACGAGGCTCTGGTTCTGGGTTGGCGTCACTTTAAAGGGAAAGGGAGAACAAAACGTCTCCGTGTACAGCATAAACCTTGTGTAGATTGTATATGCGCGCTGAAACAGGCAGTCAAGAGTACAAGTCGCCCGGACACATACAAGAAGCGAGCATGAGAGCCCCTCACTCGCCAACACGATTGTTTGGGAAATTAATAACTTTCCATAAGCGAGGCTTCCTCTTAGTTCTATATTACGATCCTGCCTGTCGACACCTTCACGTCAAGGGACTTTAGATCCTCGGGGGCAACCTCTGTACTTGTTCTATTTTTATCAAACCTTTTATTACATAATTGCCAAGTTAAAATTACTGTATTTAAATGTCCAAATTGTAAAAACTATTCTACAGTCAGTTTGAAATTTTGGAGAGTACAGGGCTAAATATCTACGAATCTAAAACACTTATCTACCAAGAACCATATTTAAATTATTTTAAGCAGAGCCTGATCACGTTAGTCCAAATGGAGAGTTCTTTACGTAATCTAGCACAGGGACGAGACTAGCTACCCATTACCACTGACAAGGCAGTCTAGGAGCTACACGCCAGCATAGCTCTCCTACTGGCTGCCAGAAATATTTGTAGCCTCGCAAGTAGTATCAGGTTCAAGGTCGGCAAGCACAGTGCATGCGGTCTTGTAAACACGAGTCTGAGCTATAGTGTCCCTTGTAAGTAATTATCAAAAGAAGGCACCAAACCGGGAAGGCTATGTAGCACCATCAGTGTCCCGGATAAGTTATTCGGGCATCACTTATTTCCTTTTGGCATTTTAAAGGTTGGGTAAAACGTCATTTTTAGTTTGGCTAAAGTACCGTTCCTACTGTAGAGGGAGCCAGTGGCAAGTTATGCAAGGTTTATTATTTTTTTATTTGTAGCTTTGATACAAGCCTTTCCAAAGTGGAAGAGGGAACAAGAGTACACGTTGCACGCAAACATCAAACCATGTATGAAGACAAATTACTAAAAATTATATATGTAAAACATTAAAACATTAAAGCAATGCTTTATATACAACTAAACAGCAACATGTTTTCTCAAGAACCCTACAAGCGACTGTTCTTTCAGGTCGTCTTTATAGTCTAACTTATTACCTTTATCATAAGAACCACCATCGTGGTGCTCGTCGATCTTGTGCGCAGGTCTTTTCTCGTCATAATTGGTTTGATCAGACTCGTACTTGTAAGAGTCGTAACCAGAATCGGTCTTGTATAGCGACCCTGACGAGTCATATTTGCCATAACCAGTTTCAAAGTCCGATTGGTAAGGGTCATTTGGTTCATAGTCGTCTGCTTCGTAGCGACCGATATTCGGGCGATAACCATACTTGTCACTAGAATATTCTGGTGGTGAGTAGTCATTGTAACCCGTCTGATAACTGTAATCCTTCCTATAGCCATCCGTCTGCTGGTAGTCGTAATCCTTCCTGTAGCCACCCGTCTGCTGGTAGTCGTAATCCTTCCTATAGCCACCCGTCTGCTGGTAGTCGTAATCCTTCCTATAGCCACCCGTCTGCTGGTAGTCGTAATCCTTCCTATAGCCACCAGTCTGCTGGTAGTCGTAATCCTTCCTATAGCCACCCGTCTGCTGATACCTATCATCTCTGTACCCAGACGTCTGCTGGTAGCCATCTTCCTTCTTTAGGCCACCCGTCTGCTGGTAGCCACCCGTCTGCTGGTAGCCCTCTTCCTTCTTTAGGCCACCCGTCTGCTGGTAGCCACCTGTCTGCTGGTAGCCATCTTCCTTCTTTAGGCCACCCGTCTGCTGGTAGCCACCTGTCTGCTGGTAGCCATCTTCCTTCTTTAGGCCACCTGTCTGCTGGTAGCCACCCGTCTGCTGGTAGCCACCCGTCTGCTGGTAGCCACCCGTCTGCTGGTAGCCACCCGTCTGCTGGTAGCCACCCGTCTGCTGGTAGCCCTCTTCCTTCTTTAGGCCACCTGTCTGCTGGTAGCCACCCGTCTGCTGGTAGCCCTCTTCCTTCTTTAGGCCACCCGTCTGCTGGTAGCCACCTGTCTGCTGGTAGCCATCTTCCTTCTTTAGGCCACCCGTCTGCTGGTAGCCACCTGTCTGCTGGTAGCCATCTTCCTTCTTTAGGCCACCTGTCTGCTGGTAGCCACCCGTCTGCTGGTAGCCACCCGTCTGCTGGTAGCCCTCTTCCTTCTTTAGGCCACCTGTCTGCTGGTAGCCACCCGTCTGCTGGTAGCCATCTTCCTTCTTTAGGCCACCTGTCTGCTGGTAGCCACCCGTCTGCTGGTAGCCCTCTTCCTTCTTTAGGCCACCCGTCTGCTGGTAGCCACCTTCCTTTAGACCAGACGTCTGCTGGTAGCCACCCGTCTGCTGGTAGCCCTCTTCCTTCTTTAGGCCACCCGTCTGCTGGTAGCCACCCGTCTGCTGGTAGCCCTCTTCCTTCTTTAGGCCACCTGTCTGCTGGTAGCCACCCGTCTGCTGGTAGCCACCCGTCTGCTGGTAGCCATCTTCCTTCTTTAGGCCACCCGTCTGCTGGTAGCCCTCTTCCTTCTTTAGGCCACCTGTCTGCTGGTAGCCACCCGTCTGCTGGTAGCCCTCTTCCTTCTTCAGGCCAGACGCCTGCTGGTAGCCACCAGTCTGCTGGTAGCCCTCTTCCTTCTTCAGGCCAGACGTCTGCTGGTAGCCACCCGTCTGCTGGTAGCCATCTTCCTTCTTTAGGCCACCCGTCTGCTGGTAGCCACCTGTCTGCTGGTAGCCATCTTCCTTCTTTAGGCCACCCGTCTGCTGGTAGCCACCCGTCTGCTGGTAGCCCTCTTCCTTCTTTATACCAGACGTCTGCTGGTAGCCACCCGTCTGCTGGTAGCCACCTGTCTGCTGGTAGCCCTCTTCCTTCTTTATACCAGACGTCTGCTGGTAGCCACCTGTCTGCTGGTAGCCACCTGTCTGCTGGTAGCCACCCGTCTGCTGGTAGCCTCCCGTCTGCTGGTAGCCACCCGTCTGCTGGTAGCCACCCGTCTGCTGGTAGCCACCCGTCTGCTGGTAGCCCTCTTCCTTTTTCAGACCCGACGCTTGTTGGTAGCCACCCGTCTGCTGGTAGCCCTCTTCCTTAAGACCAGAGGTCTGCTGGTAGCTTGTCTGAACATAAGGGACAGCGGGGCTACCGGGCACTTTTCCGTCGTCAGACAGTTCGTACTCTTTCACTACACCAGTCAGGAAAGGATCGACGTAAGCTGCATATCCACCTGTTGCAGCAGCTTGTCCAGCGCTCTGCTGCGCCCCTGTATATGAGGTGGTGGCCGGAGGCGGGACTACAGCAGCTACGTAAGATGATCCTGGCGTCGTGGCTGTCCCAACTATGGACAAAATAAACTGTAGATAATAGTTTACGTCCACGAACGCAGTTGGCACCCCATGGCCGCAGTCAATACTCCAAGAGACCAAACCTGGAAATTATTTAAATGTTAAAATGGTTAACTAAATTATGGAGGGAAAACAAAAATATTTGGGCACAATGTCATCCCGACACGCTTCAACCAACTCGAACGTAGCACCAACCGTTTAATACGGTGTAATAGATTTGTTGTGATACGTTATGGTTTTTCTTTTTACAACAAGGGAGAAAAATTACTTTCAGAACCGTTACCAAAAATTATCACGTGTTATTGACAAGGTTATCAGGTGTACAACTAGACTAACTTTTTGGGCATTTGGGGGGGGGTCATTTCACGACTGAGTGACAATGGTTTTTATTTGGGGGGGTACCCCCCCCCCATACTAGCCTAAGGTTGCCAAACACCCCCCCCCCCCTTTTAATATTTATTCAGGGATGGGTAAAGTTTGAAATAAGTGACCGTTCCTTCGTCACCCTGAGCGTAGCCTCACCCTGAAGTACAAACTCTCCAGTAGAGGTCCGACACACGAGGCCGCTCCCGCCGTCACCCTGTAGAGCAACAAGGACACGTCAACGTCTCTATACTGTGACAATTATAAAGTTATGTCCACGTTTTGCTTGCTAAAGTGACTGTAGGAAACTTTACTCACATGACAAGTATGAGTCTGCAGGATGCCCTTGCAGCAGAGAAATCCAGGGAGTAGCTTGAAAAAGGCACCAAGGCTTTTGATATTCCTAAACAGCCGCTGGCACGTAGCTTGTTCCACGAGTACAAATCTTGACCGTTTCAGAACTGGGCTGAAGCTTTTGTATCTTTCAGTGCCACCCTGTTAAATAGACACGTCATTTACCGGAAGCTTACGCATCACACAGTTCAAAGTCAGGTGATAACTCTGCTGTGTAACAATACGACTGAATTAAGCTAAATGTCTAGCAAAAAGCACTTTAAAGTATAACCATGAGATTTAATGGCTGTTATCAACAAGCCTCGTGCTTTAATTACCACACGAGGCGAGTACTAAACTGTCAGATTTAAACCTACACCGTTTACCTGGTCTTAAAGATTCCTTACATTTCGAGTAGCTAAGATTCCATTTTTTTTTTTTTTTTTTTTTACGGGCGTCTGAACGAACATGCCATTCAGCTTTATATATTTTTAAGTAGACCGATAAACTATCTAGAAACCATCTTTGTCAATTATTCAGTTATTGAATCTAGAGTTTGCCTATTTTTATTATTTACTTATTGGCCACGTGAGAAGGAGTGATCAATTTCAATCCTCCATACAATTACAAGTAATCATAAAGTTTCAAGAGGTTGTCTAAGGGACAACCTCAAAGTCTGTCAAAGGTCACCAACCTTTGACAGACTAGAACATTTCGAGAGAGTGTCCTACTGATGTACATCTTACATTTCCTAGATTGATCCTTTGAACCACCCATGTTCTCACTGCCCATCTCGGACCAGGCTTAGTCGGTGCTGTAGTCGGCTTATTACAGTCACCAGTATCCAACTGCACACGCTAATTTTTCCCCACCTTAAATATGTATTACAATAGTGAAGAATAGTAGCTCAGAGAAATTTGTAGAAGATTCAAAGAATTATCTTGGGGGCGTCTTGTCCAAATAATGTGGAGACTTAACCCCTTCATCCCCCCCCCCCTACACTGGGCCGTCTCCACCTTTCCGATTAATCTAATCAGGCATATTATGAATTACTGCTGGAGTCAAGGTATAAAATTTCAATACTTTCCAATAGCAAGCGATTTAAATATACTTCGGGAAATGAAAAGGGTGGGGGGGGGGGGGAGAGTAAACACAAGAGGCTTTGGTAGCAAAACTTTTCTAAAATCTTAAATGTTAAAGTAAATAATTTTCAAACTGTCCCAAGAAACTTCACTACACTAAGTATTTTGGCAGGTAGTATGAAACAATTTAAAGTATCTAGAGACTGATGGATGCCTACTACTGGTATTATCGAGTAGCCTCGCTAACGTTTGTCGTCTTTTTAGATTTAGCTACTCTGAACGAAGTGTCCATGTAGCACGGGTTATGGTGAGCCCGTAAACCTCGCTAACATGCCTACGATGTTTTGTAGAAGCCATTTTGGCGCCTCACCTCGTCAGGCTGAACGAAGCCCCAGGCTGGAACGTAACATTCTTGGTTGTCAAGGTACGTGGCGGCCGCCGTCGGCAGGCAGGCCTTCACCACGTTGGGCAGGTGCAGCACCGGGTACTCTAGCTCCACCACGGCGATGTCTGCATTCAAGTTCTGCCGCCTGTAGTCTGGGAAGGAACCGCTCTTTTCAAGACAAGCAAGCGATATATAATTTACGAATTAACAAGTTACAGTCAAGATTTGTTAGTGAACAAATGTAATAGGATAGTGCCAGCATTTTTAGGCAATCACACCGACTGAACTTACCTGGATGGCAAGTTATCTTCAGGATTGTTACGTCGTAGGAAGGCAAGCTCTCAGTGTCCGCAGAGAGATCATAGTCGCCAACACGGACGATCAGGTCGCGAGGAGTTAGCTGCCAAGCGTTAAACCATTAGGGAACCTACTTTAACCATTAATCTACAAGTTCCAGCTCAAGATTTACAAGACACCATAGCAAAGTGTGGCCCAAGTAAAGTTTTTTTTTTTTAATAAAGCTTAAAAAAAGTGCACGCGTAGTTCGACTGGAATAATGTCAGTAGCTGGCTTTAGCGACCGGCTGACCAAGAGGAATATTCCCCGCTACCCATAGTAACGGTTATCAATCTAAAGGATTTGTCACATACTGGTGTACTATTAGAAAGTACCAGTAGTATCGACACGTTAATGACTACTGCAAATTTGAGGAATTAAAAGTTACATGCATAGAATATCTTTCCATATTTGCAAAGAAAAACTCATGGATGTGTTCAGACACTAGTGCAGAGACTAGCCTACATTTTGAAGTCTACTTCGTAAAACTAAGCGCTTCACTATAGTAATAAAATATGCACAATTGGGTGGTAAACTTACGTGTTGGACGCAGTGAGCAACTGTGATTACATGTCTTTCAGCTATAACTGCTCCTGCACACAGATATTCCAACTTTGTCGTCAAGATGGCAACCTAGAAAACCAATTTAGACCAGTGTCGATTGTCGTGTTACACTACATTAAATTAAACTAGACATTCATGTTCAGAAGCGAATTACAAAAGGCTGCTTTACAGCAAGTTCATAACCAAATCTTTTTCCACAATAAGACATTACTCACGTGCCACGGGTATTGGCCCTCCTTGGCAAGGGTGACATCGCTGTCCAAGGCTCTCCCATCATACACAGGGGATAGGGGCTTCCCGCACCCCTTTTCTACCTGTAGACGCATACAGTCACTTATGTCTCGACAGGAGTTAAATAGTCAGTTTGAGTCTTCCACGTTAATACAGACTAGGTATTAAGTTCTTACAAAACGAGCCACGACTTACAGGATACGGCGAGGGAATGGCAGCGCGGAGAGAGATGTTAAGAGAACCGCTTCCTGGGATCCGTGATGGGTTGAGGTTCGTTGTTGGGGTCACCTTGTACCCTGAAGCTGAAAGAATATTAAAGCAATGTATTCTATGTTTTGAGTAAACGCCAGTGATAGTTACATCAAATTAAAATTTAAGCATGCAGAAAACAAGTTGATTTGTTCTAACTATTGCTATCATTTGTTTCAAAATTTAGCATGTAAAAACTGGTAACTTTTCAATTGCCACTTTGGTATTTCAACATTCTAGTAGATTAAATTAGTAAAATGTCATTCCTAGTACAGTTTTGTTTTAAGGGCGACCGCCTTCACATTTGTAATATTTGAAGAATTATACAATTGAGCATGTATAAATTCCAGCCCATCCAACTGAAATGATAGTACTGTCAGTAACCATTTGGTCTGAAGTACCAGTATGTAGTGACTGTCTACTAAAATAAATAGTTGGCCAATTGGAACACTTAACCCCAACTATTATAAAACCCAACTTCTAGCACTTAGGCCTAATAGTGCATATGCATTATTAGGCACATGTATTTAAGTTTCCAATTTGACATTTTAGCGGCAAGAAATAAAGAGGGGAGAAAACATTACACATTGTAGTTAGTTTTACGAGATTAGAATTTACCAAAATACTACTTCGACACTTCTTCCCCGGACTGTACGCAGGGTAAGGCCAGCTTATTATATTCAAAGATCCCAGTCGTATCTAGTCAGGAGTTCATTATTTTAATTCTATGCCGAATTAGTAAAAATGCACAAAAATCTCTTACCATTAGACGATGCAGCAGCGTGACCAACAGCAGCATTTTCCGCTTCAACTGTTGAAGTATTAAGTTTTTTTTTTTTTTTTTTTTTTATTTTTACATGCAAGCATGCGTATAATGTACAAGAAAAACAGAACAAATACAACATAGAACAAAAGTACAAAGCACACATATGTACAAGGACAAAGGAACAAATCAATAGAAGACCAGCCAGAAGGGCTGACCACAAAACAAAAATGCAGATACAAACAATACACAATTAGTAACACAGTGTAATACAAACATAAGGGAAAACCCCAGGACAAAACGCACACAAAACAAGTCTGCTAACACCTCAAATACATACAGAGAGGCGAGAAACATACAAGAATAAGGACAATAACAATAAAGAAAACAGATCCGCCATAACAAACGGAAGGCAAAACATAACAAAGAGTACACGCCAACAGCCTGAAGGGCACACAATATGACAAACAAGTGCACACGACATCCATAACCGAACACACTAACGCATAGGAACCGCACACCCCCCCCACGAGCCATACAAAAAAAACCCACAAAACAAACCGGAGCACGCAGGAACCGGGAAACAATACCCACCCACCCACTCACATACACACCCCACAACCAGGCAACACAAAATACATAGAAATCACTTGCGAGGAACATCGGAAGAAACGTACTTCTCCGGGAACAGCTCACAAGGATATTTCGACTTGTAAGCTTCCCAGACGAGACCTTCAAGGTCGGTAGGGTTTTTGATCCCCCGCGCTCGAGCGGGTATCATAAACTCAGGAACATCTATATCTGGCGGCATCGGCCAATGCCTAAGGTCACTGACGCAAGTCGCATAACGAGGCTGGGGAGCGCCAACCACGCCCTTCGAGGAAGCAGACGACACCGGAGAAGCGGACGAGGGTCGCCGAGCCTGCCACGCCTTCGCCATCGGAGCAGGTGTCGGACGCTGAGACGACAGCACTTCCACGGATACCGCAGGAGACACGGAAGGGACTGCAGGAAACTGAAGAGGCGGCAAGACCGTTGCCGAGGAAACGGGTAACGAGGAAGGGGCCACAGAACATCCAGAGCGAGCATCCTTTCTCAACATCACCACCAGGCCACCCCGCTCACCACCAACTACAGCAGGGGGAACCACCGCCCACGAAGAACCGGAGCCATCCGACGCAGGCAACGCACCTGAAGCAGGACCCTCGGACACCGGACCAGAAGTGGAGGCTGAAACGCTGGCACCTGCATCCTCAGGCAAGTGTACCTCCGCCACCACCGTAGTGTGCACCACATCCGGAGCCACCCCACCGTCAACGGAAGGACGACACTCGTCGAATTCGCCAACATCAGCCCACACAGAAGAACGCCGGGAACGCTTAGGCTCGGGCCGCACATCATCAGACCCGGAGGCAGACTCAGCGACCCGCGCAGCACCAACCGAGCGAACCGACGCACGCCGCAGCACGGCAGCCTCCTCAACCACACGGGGCACCAGGCCAGGCACAGGAGGGAATTCCGGATCCACCTCATCTCCCAGCACAGCCGGGACAGACGGCGAGGGTGCAGGGACCGGGACAGACACAGCAGAGGAAGAACTGGAAGACGAGGGGTCTGAGCAAACGGCAGGCGGAAGAGGCACAGGGACACCAGCTGGAGCACTAGGCGAGGACCCAACCTCTGGAAGAGATGCGGCAACAACAGGGGGCGCAACAGGCGGAGCAACAGCTGCTACAGAGGGCACCTCCTCAGCCGAAGAGACGTCCATACCCACCGAATCATCCCCCACAGGAAGGGGCGGAAAATCCTCCTCACTGAAGAGGTTCACTGGTGCAACAGGAGGCGCAGAACAGTCAGCAGCCTGATGGCCCAATAGACCACAACGATAACACGTCCGCGGCTGACGGGCGTAAAACACCCGAACGTTGTACCCCATAAGGCGCACAGAGGACGGAATATCCGCCCGGAGTCTCATGCCCAGGGTGCGAATGTTAGACCTCACACCCTTAAGAGGACTAGAAGACACCACGTTCACTCTCACACTAACAACTGCGCCAAACCGCCCGAAATACCGCCGTAGCAGAGCCTCTGGAAACTCCAAGGGAGCCCCATGCACACTGATGTAAGTAAGTGCACCACTTCTATCCGAGAGGGTGACAGTGCCCGCACCATCCGGCAGGGGCAGTGTCCGCCCCTCGTATCGCCGGAGAAAATCGCGATACGCCGCCTCCTCTGCAAACTTCACAATGGCCCTACGGGCCGTTACCAACTCGACCCCATAAATCGCAAACACAGGGACAGAGAGCAGTTCACAAGCCAGGGCAATCTCCGGGTAACCAGCCCGCACAGAGAACTCTAGTCCCACAGACTGAGCCCGGACGACTGGGGGTAGAGGGACCCCCATCGTAACGCCACGTCAGCACAGGCGAGCAGACACACACCCGCCCCCAACCGGCCGAAACGGGCAAACACCAAACTGCTGGAGCGCCGATTCAACACGTCTGCCCCGCACCGAAGCTAGGGCCAGACCTTTGAAGTATTAAGTGGTAAACCAGTGGCAGCAATTAACCAAGGTTTTGTTATAGGAAGTAATTTTAAGTAATGCATTGTTACAGAAAGGTAAAATTTAGTCAAAAAAATTTATTCTTAGAACCAATTCTGGCCATTAACTAGTATTTATTGTACAATTTTTTTCTTTTGCGAAGGACTTTCTGCCCATCTTCGCTGTAGAGTTCCCTCGTCCTGTGATTCTTTACCCCATGTTGCATCTAGATTAATTCTTGGGAAAGGGAATATTCTAGTCCCTGCAATCTTATAAATTATACCTCTAAACTAGATTTTTTTACTGCAGCGTCGTCTAGTTATATCTAGGGAATTCAGTTTTGTCTAGGTTTTCTAGTCTAGCTGGCACACCTGTGTTGGGATTAGGATAAATTACAGAGCACAGCTGGTAGCACCCGAATAGTCTACGTGTCTACAACAGGTTTACTCTGGGATCAGCTGCCACTTATTAAATAGGAACCAAAACATAGGAAGTCTTGCATCAATTTAAGAGGTTAAATACTACATTACGTATTAGGCAAAATCGAAGTACTATAATTCGGTGCAGTTAGGTTAGTGTTTAACTTTATACAGGAATTTTTTTTATAAATGTGCGATTATCCGACTTTACCGACGTCCGAATATTGCGTCAGCAAAGTATGAATGGGGAATGCCCACATTATCTACCATTTTGTCATTAAGAGGGTAGGCCGATTCGTTAGCGTCACGTAGGAAAGATCTGGTTCGTAGTTAATGAGTAAAGCAGTCTAACAGTCACAGTGGTTACAACTATTTAAACGAGTTTCAGTGAAGCAGGAAAGACCGATAGATCCGATAACCAACCTCTTAATTTGGGGGAACGAGGTTACGTACGAACAGCCAAAAATTACCATTAATAATTTCCAAATAGACTAGGGGGAGAAAAATCAAATTTTATGACATCTTTTGACAAATTAACAGAAGACTTACCAGTAATTGCTTCTCTTCGTTTTCTAGTCGAGTTGACGGCCAGAAGATACTGGTCTGCTAATTCTTTGGCATGTTGTTCTGCATTGGAAATATTGTAACAATTAATGCATGTAGTAATTGGCTTTTAAAAACTATATTTAAAGTTTCTCAAACATAAACCAATTTGACCAAGAGTAGTCAAAGACCAAGAGTTTAGAATTTTAGGAAAAGTGAAATCTTACTCTCATAGTAGTCCGGTATGCGAGAGTTGATCAGATGTGAATGGTTTATATCCATGCGAGCGTCTGAAGAGTCTTGGGACATCCTGTACTGGAAGACATCGGCTCCCCCTGGCTGGGAGCCCTGCTTCTCCCGGAAGTTTATGTTAATGTTCACTCCTGTAAAATCCCAGTAAGAATGATTTAAACTTAAGTGTTAAGGTAACGGGCGCTATTAAAAGGAATTTACGAGCTAGGCTTTGAAGAAAATTTAGGACAGTTTAGTGCAAGTCTACTAGTCTGCAGGTAATTTTAAGACGTGCCTCAATGCATAATTACCAGATAAGCTAAAATTAAATACCATCAGATTTGGACAACAGATTACTTAATTACAAAGATTTCCCATAACTTTCAGAGGGTTCAAAAGTACAATGTAAAGAACTACGAAATGGGGACGCTTATGAAACATTCTAATCAAAGTGTTAGACAAATTACAGCCTGTGGTAACGTTCCAAATATAAAAGTGTGTGCTTCACAGTATATAGAAGTCACTTTCCTGCCAGAGAAGGTTACTAGAAGCACAACTTTCTAGGAAAGCGGGCCTTCCAGCAACTTTCCAAACTTATTACTGAAGATGAAATGTTAGTGTATTGTTATAATATGTAAAGTCAAAAGATTGAGGCATAATCTTCCTGGCTAGTTCTGGAAGTAGATGAAGCAACAAGTGGGCTGCATTTTATTTTGTAGACTAAATTGGTTCATTGACAGTTTTTGGAATTTTGAAGCTTGGGCATCATTAATGTTTTACGGCATGCTAGTTACTAGACTTTTTTTATTTTGCAGTGGAGTGTTAACACTTTACATAGATCCAAATAAACCTCCGATATTCATAAAAGTTTTAAAATTAACCAAGTATAGCCAGATATTTAACTACCATATCTTAATATCTCAAGTCGCCGCTATTAAAACGAGCCTATATCGTTACAAAACTTTAAAATAATTTTTTCCACCACAACCCAGTCATCTACAAGTGGCAAGATTATTTAAGACTTGCCGCCACGGTCGTCGGGCGAGCCTTGGCTGCCTTTGTAAGCGTGGAGCGCGTTCACTATTGTGTGTAGTGAACAGCATGACCATGTTCTCGTGTCCCAAGTTCCGCCACATCGGTACTGCAAACAAAGGCCACACATTTTACTATATAATTCAGTTTGCAGTGAATAATGATTTACTAATGCCCGAATTTAAATACAGTATAGGAAGCGGCTAGTAAGTTTACGTTTGTTATGCAAAAAGATTAATTATGAAAATTTTAAGCGTTACCCTGCACAGTAATGTATTATAGAAAAAAACTGGTTAACAGCTACGGGCTCACCATAGCCCGTGCTACTTTGAACTTTGTTCCAGGTAGCGAATCTTTAAAGAACAACCTGACTTGCAGGATATCCTTTTAAGTTTAATTATAATTTAGACAACCAATTATCAATTATACCCGGTGCAGTTAAGATTCTTTAGAAAGCCAAATCATTTTCAGGAAGTTAAATATTGGTTTACATTAATTTAAAGGAAGCCAATTTTATGGGGGGGGGGGAAGAGGTAAACCAAGATTAAGTCTGCAAGCGTGTCGTATTATGGTAAGAATTTCATAATCCTTTAACATTAATAGTTACCTTTCTGTCCAAGACCTTTGAGAATATGGCAGCAGTATAGGTGATGCTGGAGGCGGGGCAGACGGTGGCGGGAGTACACACACTGGAAGGTGGACATATCGGGGGCTCCTGCTGCAGGGGGCGTCTCAAGGGTTGCTGGACGACGTATCCAGGCCACGGTACGATCTCCACCGGGATGCGCAGAGTGGTAGAGTTCTGCACACGGTAAGTTCATACTTTAATCTATTTTAAATATAATGAAACTAAATAGTTTTAGGGGAAAAGGTAGTTAAAGTCTGAAACCAAGACAAACTTTCTATACTTTCAGAAGCTAAATCATAGCTCTGCCGGGACAACCACCAACAGGTTTAAATTTCAAAGTATTTATCGGCAATGAAGAGGAAACTATCCTAATTCCAGTTATTATAGTGTATTAATATGCCTCTTCCCCGCCCCCCCCCTTGTATTTGGCATTATAAAAAAACCTAAGGTGCAGCCAGTGTCATTTCACGTTTTTGTATGCGTCGAGGTGCAAATACTTTTACAGTCTATTCTTTGCAAAGTTGCTTCAAACTACAAAATCTGATCTGCCACTGAAGAGCAAACAAAGGCCATGCCAGGCCATGCCAGGCCATGCATCAGCCCCCCCCCCCCGGTTTATAGATTTAAAAAACTTAACGTTTCGCCTGATTACATTCGAACACTTTCAGAACAGGAGCATCCCTGACGAATTTTATCAGAACCACAAAGCTGTAAATCTCACCCGCGCATGAGAAAATTTTTGAATTTACAGCATTCAAAATTTTAATGCTTGCGTCTTTGGGGTCTACCGGTGGATGGAATGGATTATCTGAGGACGGGTTGCACTAAAAAAATTTTTTTTACATAAATTTATATATTTTCAAGTTTTTAACGGTTCACCTTCCCGTGAAGGTTTAAGGTTTACTTAGGAAGTAGATATTCAAAACATGACACTTCAACCAACCAGCTGTTTAGTATAACCCATTAAGAATCTTTACTACTTTCCCCGACTGAAAATAAGTGCATTTTAAGCTTTAAATTTTAGTAAACTTTGAATAGAAAAAAAGGTCTTGGCAATGATGTTTGAGCACATACAAAAACTGAAATTAGGCCTTTACATTTGATACCATACTCGCCTCAAGCATGTAAAACCAGTTTGTGGAGGTGGGCGTGAAGGGCGTGGGCAGCCTAGTGTGGTTCCGGCAGCACACCGTCCCCTCGCTGTCCACCGTCCGCCCACACATGTACTGTGAACATGTTTAGATGCTGTCAATAGCGTGCTTAGTACTTTAGCTTCCATGAAGACTTTGTAGCGATCAGAATATTAATGTTTAATTACTATACACTGCATGTATCTAATAATATCTAATGCCTATTAGAACAGTACTTTGCCCAAAATATTTTTACATTAGTAGGTTACGACCAATGTGACATGTTAAACTACAGTCAATACTACCAATGTCTTAGTCGGAACCTACCAAGACTTGTTTTAGGTCTGCAGTAAAAAGCCATTTCCACATTAACAGTTACCTTTTTCCAAGGAAATCTTTCATCATAGTAAATACTAGTGCGACAACCAGTTTTTAGTTTACCTGATCAACTAGATCAGTTAACAATAGACTCTCCGAAGCTAAGGTCTGGTTGATATAAATGGGAGCCTCTTCGTATTAGTGAAGAGGACTTGTGCCCTTGTCCTCAGACAAAACAGGAGATTGTTCAAGGTTCATGAAGGAATGAGAAGTAGGCAAGATATCAGGACAAGTAATACGAAAAGTAACTGGGTTGAAGAGGCTGATTAACTAAAAAAATAAAACATCTAATGGGCTTCTAGATTAGCTATAAGTAAAAATAAACTAGCCTGATTTTTCTTTGAAGTATACATTAAAAAGTAATTCAGTAGACTTTAAAAAGGATTTCTACCAGAAGTGGGCGAAACCCTATTTCGGATGCAATTTGTTTTATACAAGCCAACTAGGAATAATTTATACTACATGTATGCAAACTAGGAAACTAATTTAGTAGCCTAAAAAATGGAAAAGTAGTAAAGACTACTTTCTATATAATACCAAGATAGATTTTGACCAACTAGTAGGCTGTGATCAGAGTCAAGGACTAGTTTAAGAACGGGCCTTTGTCGATACTACTACAATGGAATGTACACTTCAAATTTGCACAAGATGCTAAACTTTCAGACCACTATCAATGATCAGAATGGTCGAGGCAAATCTCCAAAGGTAACTTTAAATAACAGCATTTTCAGAGCTAATCAGATTATCTCTACACATGTTTGGAAGTTCCTAAAGGCTATAGGAGCCAATTTGATAAACTGGCTAAAAGACTACGTTTTCCCTAGAACTTAAATTTTTTTTTAACTTTAGACCTTCATAGGATTGAGGGACTTTTTTAGCGTCGTGCTTTAAGGATAGGAATCAGTGAGGATCAAACAATTTTCACTTTCCTGGCATAATATTTTAGGCTTTGTATAATAGATCAATGCCCAAGACTCAAGTTTGTACAAGACAAGCACTAGCAAATTTACTAAAATGGAGAGGCTGCGGAATATGAACATTACAATGCAGAAAGTCTTATTTAACAAGTTGCGCAGTCCAAATCTTTAGGAGTAACCGTACCGTCTACCATAATACAGGTTTCGACGGGAGAGAGTGGGGAGGTTAGCGATTGTCTACGAGTGATCTACCGTAGACTAAGCAAGATATTCGAGCTTTTAACCAATGTATAAATGCAAATTATCATTAGCTTTTTGCCATCTTCAGGACAAATTCTCTTCAGCAAATGTTAGTTTGATTTACCTTTAAATGTATTGTTCCAGTTCTTTTACTTATCAGCAAGTGTATTGTGGCGACAAACTTTTAGAGGTTGAGAAGACTAAACACCAAGAGCCTAACCATAACTTTTGTTTCAGGAGAAACATCCTGACGTCGGGACAAAAATAATTTACCAAAAGTTAAATAACGGGTTGCAGAACAGTTTAACTTACTTTTGTATCATCCCGGGTCGCATCTTCTGCGGGCGTGTAGTTGTAGGCGAGGTGGTCAGTGTGGCAGAAGTTTTTGGACACACACCACGTGTTGGGAGGACAGGCATAGTGCTGGGTGGTGTTCACAGGCAACGCTCCAGCACCAACACTCAACAACACGCTCCCCAGCAACAACTGTCAGGTAATTTAATTTTAATTTTACGCATCTCTAACTCCCTCCCCATTTACAATAGAATTGCATCTTCAACGCCCCACCCCCAGGAAATAGAGTGATTATGCCTGCATACAAATTTATTATTTTTCTATTTTAATAGTTATACATTGTTAATCTTTTCTCCATAAATTCTTGATAAAACTTTAGGCCTTCCCAACGATATAGTCTTAGAACAAACCAGGCCAATATTATGCGACACTGAATGTCTTGCTCACAATATGCAATCCCATATTACCCCTTGCGACTGCCCAATAGAAATCCACACAAAGTACATAAAAACAGAGTCTCAAAACTGCTCTCCTATCATACTAACCATGTTCCCTACTGCAGTGTCTGCAGGACGTCCCCAACTAACACCAAACAGCAGCAGCATATCCCTCACTTGGACAGGAGGGGCCGAGCGCCACTGTGGTTGGTACCTTAAGAGCTACTGGTGTTCTAGTCGCTCCTTGAGAACTACTGGTACCCTGGTCGCCGCCACAGCCACCTACTGGACGTTGCTCACACCAGTCAACTACAACACTTGTCTCTTCCCTCTGGTTGCTTGTTCAGTGCTTTCACGCCCCGCCGATCGGTAAGGCTCACTTTACGTATTATATATATTTAATTTTGACATTTAGAGACGAGTCTGGATGGTGGTTGAGTTGTCATATGGAATTTGTTTTATAGGGATATATATATGTCGTGCCTGATAGCCAACACTGTACTACTTATACTTAGCCTAGGCCCGATTTTCCTGACAGGCAGAGCGATTTCCCTTATTTTTAAATATTGCTTTCCAAATTTGTTATTCCAAACAGTATTATTATATTATCTTATATTAAGAACATAAAATACTGACAGATTAGGTTTTGTAAAATTTTAATGTTTTAAATAAGTTAACAAAATCCCAGCTATATATAATACAACAAAAAACTTTACCATTCTATAAGAAAAAGATTTTGAAAAATTTAATGTCAGGAAAGTTCAGCTTGTTAGGCAACTCTGGTTGTTAGGTATGACATATACATATTTTGAGGTGTACCCCGGTTCTTAGTTTATATATATATTTACTATATGGGGTACCCGTCTGTACCCGGGTCTCTCTTACTCCCTCTCTCCTCTCTTCCCACATTTCCTCCCCCTTCCTCCCCCCCTCTCGACATTTCTCCTCCACTCCCCACCTTTCTCCCCCGTTCTCTTCCAAGATCCCCCTCTCCCCTCTCTCTCATAATGTAATATTGCAAAGCACTGAAAATAAGTTATTTAACACTGTTAAATAATTATGGTAAACATAGGCTTGATTTCAAGCATGACTTCCTGAAAGTCGCAGGGGGGGGGTCGCTATAGATGCCAAGATTTTAAAAATGTGACACTGGAAGTGTCAGGTCAGTCAGGGTCTGATACTCAGAGAGACAGACAGACAAATAAACATCCATTCTTGTTCATAGATATAGTTATTTGCACTGAGATTGTACTTTAGTTATTAACTTGTTTGTCAGTAAGCATTTGTGGTGATTTAAACAACCCATCCAGAGTTGATAGGCATTAAACACAACACCAAACCAAATAAAATTGTAGACACCTATTTAACAAATGTATTTTAATATTAAAATACACACTCGGTATATTTGGTTCACAGTAGGTGACTTAAATGTCAAACAATTAGAACCCAACCCCTTTCCCATCCCTGCCTTGTAATATATGCACAATGCACTTAGTATTGAGACAGATAACGAGACAGTATGGATCAGGATTTTGGCTTAGTGTTGCCACCAGCGACGACTTCGTTATTGTGCACTTTTTGTTTTTTTTTTTTTTTTTTTTTTTTTTTTTTTTTTTTTTTTTTTTTTTTTTTTTTATAAATTACACAAATTACAAGAACACACAAAACAACGCAAACCTGTACACATCAAGTACACCAATGAAGTAACAGTACACAGGAATAAACAGTCTGTACACTAAACAATAACAGTAACCGCAAAACAAACACAAGCGCTGAACAAAATGAAAACGCATTGAAGCACTGGGCTAAACAGTACAGGGAAATAAGTGCTAAAACAGTACATGGAAACAATAGGCTAAACAGTTCATATCTACATAGCAACACAGAACATGGCCAAGAAAATTACATGAAAAATAAATTAACAATAAAGGACATAAATAACATTGAAACACACCTGGAACCAATAACATAAACATACACAGACGTGGATATAGAATCACGTGCACAAAACCACGCCTACCACACACACAGAAGAACAAAGGAGCATAGGATCATACACGCGCTACCCAGGAAAATGATATACACTAAATAAGAAGAAATTATGTACACGCACACTAAACACACTCTAAACAACAAGACAAACACACTCATACCACCCACACCACACCACACTGCACCCAAGCACGCAAAATAAAGGGTTACAGGCCAAAGCGAAACACGGCCACAAAAGGAACAGTAGAAAACAGTACAGCAGAAAACCCAGGCCCACGCAGGAGCCAAAACCCCCCTCAAAATCACACACCCACACGCATACGGACACAACCGGCACCCGGAGGTACGGAAAACACACCACACACACACAGGAGCAGCAGCATCTCAAGGGGGGAGACACACAAACACACGCAACCCCCGCCAAGGACACCCCAAGACGCGGAAAGGGAGCGCATAGCAAAGCAAACCCCGAAACCCCCCAACCCCTCTAAACCCCCCCCATCAACACCCCAACCCCACCCAAGCCGAGAACATCACCTTGCCACCAAGGCACCCGCCGACCCAAAGGCAACCCCACGAACGTAGGCATCTGTGAACCACCAACCAAACTCCTCCGGAAAAGCGCGCTGCAACCACCACCAGGTAAACCGCATGCGCCCCCGTAAAAATCCTAAAATTCGGGCGATCCCAAAACCCTCCCGCCTCCCAACCCACACACAAAACACATAATCAGCAACCAAAACACACAATGTATTACGCACCCGCTGCGGATAAGCCGGAAAATACAAAAACAAAAATTGCAAAACATCACCCCGACAACCCGGACCACAAAACACCTCCAGGACATCCCGAAACCAGTCCACCAACCCCTGTAACCGGACACAAAAATAAAGTACATGCACCTGCGATTCACATAAACCACAGTGAACACACGCCCCAGAATCACGCAAGCCAAGCATACACAACCGCTCATTTGTCGCCAGCGACAAATGCAGAACCCGAAACAGCAATTCACGCTGCTGAGGCGCCAAGAACCGTGCCCCCAAACACGACCAGATACCACCCCAATCCCAACACGGGAACAAGCCCTCCACTCGAGGCCGCACCCGGGGCAACAACACCCCATACACAGCCTTGCACGAGAAAGACAGAAACCCAGGATGGCGGCAGAGCTCCCGAAGAATCCCCACGGCCCAAGAATAAACAGGGGGGGTAACCAAGGCCACCTCCTGACAAACCCCCAAATCAACCAAAAAACTGAAGCGAAGCGAGCAGAAAAACACACCCGGCGTATTCAACCCCCCACCGAGAGCCAGCCCCCGACGCAACGAGACCCAGAAGAGGGCCTTGGCCTTCGTGAAAACGTCAGGAATGCCAACACCCCCCTCTCTCACCCCTAACACCAACGTTGAACGGCGCACCGGTTGATAACGCCCACACCATACATATCTATACACCACACTCTCCAAACTCAAGGCCTTCCGACGATCCAACGGGAAACATCGAGCCACAAACCAGACACGCGACAAGACCTTACACGCAACAAGCAGCCCCCTCTGATAAATCGTCAAGGGACGACGCGACAAAAGGCCAACTGCAACACCAACCGACCGAGAGATAGCACCCCAATTCCACTCCAAGGAGCGATCATAGGAGGCAAACCAAGTAATCCCAAGAACCCGAATCGAGGAGACCACCGGAAACCACGACCTATCCCACACCAGGCGGGAGGCCCACTCACCGATCCCCATCAACCCCGACTTCGCCCGATTAAGAACGGCCCCCGTAGCGGACTCAAACCGCAGGAGAACGTCCTGGACAGCTTCAACAGAACCCTCCGAAGCTACAAATAGAATGGTGTCGTCAGCATACCCGCAAACGGGTAGCCGGAGACCGGACGGCAGACAAGGAGGCACGATCAAGGAACACGCTTTCACCGCCCGAAAAAGAGGTTCCTGAAAAATCACATACAAAAGCATGGACATGGGACACCCCTGACGAACGGAACGGCAAATAGGAAAAAATGAGCTAAAAAACCCATTCACACAAACGCGACTGCGACTCCGGACATACAACAAACGGATCCACCCCACAAACACCACCGGAAACCCAAGCCTCTCCATAGCACTAAAAACAAACTCTAAAGACACCCGATCAAAGGCCTTGGACCAGTCCAAGCTGATCATAGCCGCCGAAAGCCGATACTCGGACGCATAGAGAAGCACGTCACGAAGTAAGGCATTGCAATGCATCAGGGCACGGCCAGGCACACCACAAAATTGCTCCATAGAGACCACCGACGCAACGACACCCCGACATCGACGCTTTATTGTGCACTTCGTACTCATCCTGTGATGAGTACGGCAGCGCAAAAGGATTATAAAGAGACCATAAAGTCTTAATCAGACCTCAGTGGATGTTTGACATTACAGTTTATCGCCATACCATATATTATCATGATAGTAATCCTCCTGCACTGAAGCCGTTATATTACACATTTGGAGGTAAGTAATTTTGGAGAAAAAAATGTGATGAGAGTATAAGTGGTATAACCAAAAATTATATGTTCTTCTGTTACCCTACAATATCCAATATTGAAACTTAAGTCTTGGAGAAAACAAAAACACCTAATCTTTTTTTTTTATTCCCTCATAAGTCCTCGGTGAATCTGATGCCTTTTGACTATTTTATGGCCTTTTGTCCTCGTATTCGGATCGTGAATGATGTTTATGCACTCTTGAATATTCTGCAGCACAGACGGTGCTATAATCTTCCAGGCTTAGTGCCTCTTATTATTATAACTTACGTACTTTGTGTATGGTGGCCTCGTGGCTTGATCTTTATGGGGGGGCCCTTCATGACATTATCCTCGACCCCGTCTATGCTTTAAATCATTCCGCCTTTCATCTCCACTCGAAGGATGTGGGTTTTCGTTCTTCCCCAACTGAGATCTAATACGTCGAAACCGGTGTTCCGTCGAAGCAAAACCCGCTGATCGCTATTGTCTTGTATATTTTGCATGGAACCTATAAGGCCTTTCATACTTGTACTGCTGCCCCCTATTAAGAACTTTGCTCACTGACCGTCGCCATCTTCACTGCACAAATTGGTTATTTGTAGGCTTTGCACCTAGGTTTTTAATGGGTACGCATGTATTGTGCCCATACCTGTGGAAAGATAGAGTAATTATCCAAAGAAGGCACCAAGCCGAGAAGACTGTAGCACCATTGTGGAAAGGTAGAATGAAGGGTTACCCCCCCCCCCCAAAAAAAAACTACTATTTAAGAGCGAGCTGTAAATCTGATGGCAGAGTTAGAGATAATATCGACATAAAGCCTTTACTCGATAAGAGTACAAAGTTTACTGGATAGCCGTGCACTGTTAGTTCTGAAGTGGTCGAGATTCAAAGTTGGCGGCACCTCTTCTTAAACAGGTTTAAAAAAATAAAATAGTTTCCCAGCTATATTGGAGTAGTTTTTATTGACACGTCTGCTAACTTGATTATGCGCCAAGACATACTAAAGGAATAAGAGACCAGCAATCTCCAACTGCTGGATAATAGGAAATTTTTCATATTCCCCCCCCTCCCCCCCCTAAGTGTGATCTGGCCTCATTGCCTTACGGTCACCGAAACAAGATTTGGGGAGGGGGGGTGAACCACCCTCTGGCTAGGCTACGTAACTATTATTTACTCTTGGGCACTTTAGGGAGGTTTGACCTATCTCTGACCACTTCAGAACTTTAAAGTAACAGTAGGAGAACACAATCTTGAAACCTCGAGTTGCCAAGGATTTTCTAGAGGGACTCATCACTTACTGTAATGGCATTCCTTATGGTATATAGGAACTGACCTAATATACAACTTTCCCTCTTGAGCAATATCTTGACAATTTGGTGCAATCATTTAATCTCATTTAGGAAACTAGACTATAAGTAATGTGGAAGCTTTATTAATATTATACAAGCAACATATGCTACAAAACTTTAAATTAAAGTTTTACCATGCTACAGTTATAAATCATTATATACACATGCTGTAGTATAGAATACCCGTGTCTCAAATTATACATCATGGAGTTCATTATTTAACTTATGGTCTTTCATATATACAGACTTTACGTAACTTTCAAGACTTTACAATTAACCGGCCTTTAGAGGGCCACAAGCCAGTCACCATAACGTCTGAATACACGACGACCGCTGTGGACCGTCGCACACCTATTTCTGGGGGTCTTAACCTTTATATCATTTGTGGTAACTTTGCCATTTATTGTACCTAGTTACACGACTACTGTAGTAGCTCAACATATATCGTTAATTGGAGTAAGTATTTATGTTAGTGGCAGTTCGTTAACAAATTTAAAAGCTTAAAATGCCTTCCTGTAGTTGTGGAGTCTACCTTATTACCGACTCTAGGCAATCTTATAGCCATCTTTCTTTTTAGACATTCCGAGGGGGTAGATGGTTCTTTTAACCAGTCTGCAAGTAACCATCCTCTTTCCTGAGGCCAGACGGCGGATAGGAATTATCCCTCCTGAAGCCACTCTGCAAGTAGCCATCCTCCTTCCTGTAGTGGGCATCCTTCCGGTAGTGGTTATCCTTCCGGTAGTCTGAAGTCAAGTAGCCATCATCCCTCTTGAAGCCAGATGACAAGTAGCCATTTTCCTTTAGATAGCCAGGCTCCAGGTAACCATCCTTCCTGTAGCCAGACTGCAGATAACCATCCTCCTTCCGGTAGTCTGAGGTGAAGTAACCATCCTCCTCCCGATAGTGGTGATCCTTCCGGTAGTCTGTGGTCAAGTAGCCATCCTCCTTCCGGTAAGGGTCCTCCTTCCGGTAGGGGTCCTCCTTCCGGTAGGGGTCCTCCTTCCGGTAGGGGTCCTCCTTCCGGTAGGGGTCCTCCTTCCGGTAGGGGTCCTCCTTCCGGTAGGGGTCCTCCTTCCGGTAGGGGTCCTCCTTCCGGTAGGGGTCCTCCTTCCGGTAGGGGTCCTCCTTCCGGTAGGGGTCCTCCTTCCGGTAGGGGTCCTCCTTCCGGTAGGGGTCCTCCTTCCGGTAGTCTGATAAGTAGCCATCCTCCTTCCGGTAGGGGTCATCCTTCCGGTAGTCTGATAAGTATCCATCCTCCTTCCGGTAGGGGTCATCCTTCCGGTAGTCTGATAAGTAGCCATCCTCCTTCCGGTAGGGGTCATCCTTCCGGTAGTCTGATAAGTAGCCATCCTCCTTCCGGTAGTGGTCATCCTTTCGGTAGTCTGAGGCAAAGTAACTATCACCCCTATTGAAGCCAGATGCCAAGTAACCATCATCCTTCAGATAGCCAGACGCCAAGTAGCCATCGTCCTTCCGATTGTAATCATTCCGATAGTCAAACGCCAAGTAGTCATCATCCCTCCTGAAGCCAGTCGCCAAATAGCCATCATCGTTATAATGCTCGTACCGATCACCAGCCGTCTCGTAGTCACGGTCAAACCGGGGAGGATAACCTTTGTCGCCGCCGGGATAGTCTGACGGCCCGAGGTGGTCGAAGGGTCTGCTGGGGGGAGGGCGTTTTCCTCCATCATAGGGAATGTGAGGACCTTCGTGCGAGTAGAGGCCATCAGACGCAAGAGAGCCGGTGGTGTACAGGATGAACTGAAGGTAATACTTTATGTCGACGAACACAATTGGCAGCCCGTGACCGCACTCCATACTCCACGATACCAACCCTGGAAAAACATGCAGACGAGGAGTCACAATAACGTGGCTGATGTATGTTTACCAAACCACACATTAGAAGGTGAAGGGACAACGACGTTTCGGTCCGTCCTGGATCATTCACAATCTACTTTAGAATGGTCCAGGACGGACCGAAACGTCTTCGGCCCTTCACCTGCTGTAAAAACATTGCATTTGTAAGTTCTGAATTGATAACTTCCAATCAGAGTTTTCAATTTATTTACAGAGCTATAAATTAGCAATTCATAATTCTAAACAGCTTAGACTTGTGTTAAACACGTTTATTGTATTTAAGAAGATATTAAGCATCTAATTTAAGTTTCGGTTTATTAGATTTAGTATTTAAAAACTTACCGTGAAGTACAAAGTCTCCCGCCGAGTTCTGACACACCAGACCGCTTCCTCCGTCGCCCTGTCAAGTGTATGAAGATGCTGGGTGACGAACATTCATTGTTAATTTAATTATGTCACTAGTCAAAGTATTGCTCAACATCTCTACCATCCAGCCAAAATACTCACATGGCAGGTGTCTGTGTGGATACCCTTGCCGCAGAGGAAGCCTGGGAGCAGCTTGAAAAATGATCCGAAGTATTTGACATCTCTTAACCGTCTCTGGCACTCTGAACCCTCTATGGTGACAAACCGAGCGTCCTTCAGAGTATGACTAAACTTCCTGTACCTTTCTGAACCACCCTGGTGGAAACTATTGTCAATGTCAAAGTCCCTGGTGACAGCCGCACTAGATCAAAACTTTAAATATTTATAAACAAGTATGTCAACTTTCATCGACAATTTTCGTGGATATATATACCATTATCATAGGTTCCTCCCCTACCCTGGCTTTTACTGCCGGCAGTGAAAATGATATGAAAGTGAAGTAGCACAAGATTGATCACAAGTTGTATTTCAGATATGCAATTGTCCAAGCTCTTCAAAGATTTAGTGTAGATTATAAGCTATGATCATTTCGCTAGTACATATCAATTCTTTTAACTTAAATCGTCAGATTAAATTTGACTTTTAAAACTGTAGGTCAATTCCAAACCAAAAAAGTAGGCAAAATATATTTTTCACTAATCTACGAGTACTAGACTTTTCCACTATTCCAATCTACTGCATGGCGCCTCACCTCGTCCGGTTGAACGAAGCCCCAAGATGGGACGTAACATTCTTTATGATCCGAGTAAGTTGCCGCCGGCAGGCAGACCTTCACCACGTTGGGCAGGTGCAGCACCGGGTATTCCAGCTCCACTACGGAGATGTCTGCATTCAGCGTCTTCCTCGTGTAGTCTGGGAAGCAATTTTTAATACAGCCGTTTTATAAATGATCTGCACATTTGTTAAATTAAGGTAACTGTACAAGATAAACTTTCACTCCAGTATATTTAATAAGTTCACGTGCAATTTTCTTCGTATTAAAGGACTACAAGTTATGAATTACGTACCAGAGTGATGGATAATCTTGCGGACAGCGACGTCGTAGGCTCTGTGGTGCTCTGCGAAGGACGACAGATCGAAGTCTCCAACACGAACAACAATATCGTGTGGATACAGCTGCCAGGTTTTAGAGAGTTTGATCATTCAAAATACATTGTTAAAAACTGTCCAATTAATTAATGAAAATTTTTAATTATCAATACAAGGCACAAAGACGGGAAGATTATTTAGCAAGCCCGTCTCGAGTTATCACGTCACAAATTATTTAGTAAATTTCCCGAACCTAACCGATGGATCCACAAATGGAAAATTTAACAGCCCTTTAATTTAGCACGCCGTTATTTTGACGTCCGGGATTTCCAAGTCAATAAAATATATTATTCGAAAGCATATTCCTTTTGCACTAGGTTGCAGGATATTTAAAAAAAAAAAAAAAAAAAAAAAAAAAAAAAAAAAAAAAGACCTGAAGTCATTCAAGATTCAAACAAGAGCAAAGAAAACACTAAAGTGGTGCACAACTATGCGGGACAATGTCAGACAATGGAATAACTCATTAAGTGTACAAAAGTTAAGCGGATGTGGTCGCTAAACAGCCTAGTTGGGACACGCTCCCTACCCACTTTTTCGGTTTTAGGAGGATGGCCATTCGATAGGTCACATTTAAGAGCAAGTTTAGATCCTGGATAAACTATAGTTAGTCACTTAAACATTTACCGTTATCAGACATCCACTGTAGAACGACTACGAGTGAATGTCAGATATAACGTGGTACCTGATGACCACTGTCCAGTATGACATTGCTTCAGCTGCCATCTAATAAAACATTACCAAGAAGCATGTTTTATTAAGGTCTAAGCCATTTCATTCTTACCTCCAAAATGAAACTACACATTAGTAGAAATGTATTTTGGCCACAAACTATGAAAATAACAGTAAAATGAAGTTCGATTTTGGGAAGACTTTAGTTTTAGGCTACAGCTTTAATCCCAGCTGGCTGCACCTACCTAATGAAAAATGTTATTAAAGAATATGGTTTTAACCCTACCCAATATCCGGCACTATGTGTGGGTTCAGTTACTTTCAAGGGAACTTCAAACAAGTTACAAGAGTTACTTAATATTGAAGTTATGTCTGGTTAACTTACATGATGGACGCAGTGAGCAACAGTGAGGACATGTCTGTCTGCGATGACCACGCCTGCACATAGGTACCTCAGTTTCGTTGTCAAAATTGCAACCTACAAGAGAAAACAATGGCCGAAATGTCTTTAAAGCTTATGGCATATTGTGCCCTTTTCAATTACTACAAGACACCCTAAATAGACTAAACTGTGCTCTTATATCAATACCAATGTTAGTAATATCAGTACTGACCTTTCCAACCAACTAAGAGTTGCCGACATCCTTAAGACCGGCAAGATCAACACCAATACTTACATGCCAAGGGTATTGGCCCTCTTTCGCAATGCCGACATGGCCATCCAAGGATTTCGCATCATACGGAGGCGCCACGAGGGGCCTCCCGCACCTCTTGTCTACCTGTAAACGAGCACCGACATTTTTTCCAAGTGTTGTTCATTAATGTGTAGATTTTAAAAATACTTTTAAATTATATGGCAGGAAATGAAGGTTTCCTTTCAGTTGAGGTTAAGAGGGGGTTAAACAGTTTCTCAAGACTTCCGCGATTATTGGCCGTATAAACACATGCGTACGTACCGGTTATATAATAAGCTTTGAAACTTTGACTATATACATGTATGGAAAAACTTAACCATGACGTACATGATATGGCGGAGGAACTGCGCCGCGGAGGGAGAGGTCTGGAGAGCCGACCCCTGGGATCTGCGATGCGTTGAGGTTCCCTACTGGTGCCACTGTGACCCCTGTAGCCCAAAGAGATTTGTTTAAGACATTTTAAAGTTAGTCACTATTTCCCCATGTTACGTCACTAAGTCATTCAGGAACTAGAAAGGCCACAAGTTATTTTTTCCAGGAAAAATATTCAAGGTATAGCAGTCTTTTTAGAAGATTAAAGCAATTTAGTGACAAGCCAAGTACCTCGGGAACTCTTTACATACATTAAAATTAAGAATAATTACAATTTTCCACGTCTAGAAGAAAAAAATGGGAGAAACTTTCCTTAAACTTAAATCTCCCATCGATATACTCTGCAAATTTAATGTACCCTATGAATTCATGGCCAAAGCTTAGCTGGAGAACGTAGCCTAGTCGCTTACCGCCGTCAGACGAAGCAGAGTCTTTGGCACGAGCACCAACACCTTCCCCTGTTGAGAGAAGTCATTCTAAACAAGTGAAACTAATCTGTACACATTCTACAAATTAACAGTTTGTAATATATATATGATGTACGAAATTAGTTGCCTACGGAACCATCTTAGTAGAGCTCAATACTTTCAGCTGTACATTCTAACCATCTTTGGATCTTCAATATTGGCGCTTTAAACTTTTTAAAAAGTTAATTTAGTTTAACAGTCGCCAAGAATACTCAAGACTATGGAAATTAGAACTGAAGCTAGATAAAAAATTACATCCCCGAAATTTGAATCTTTAAAGCCTCACTGAATTTCTATAAACCATGTTTGTATACTTTACTACTATTCAAAGCCTTACCGGTTTTGGCATCTCTCCTTTGTCTCTTAATGGCAGACTTTGTTGCTTTGAGAAACTGGTTTGTTAGATCTTGAGCGTGTTCTCCTGCAGAGGAAATAAGAGACCATAATGTCTCGGACTAGCGCACTGAACATTCATTTTTCACAAATAATCATCAGGCAGGTACAGGAAAGTACGTTTGTGAACTTCCTCATAGTTAATTTTTTTCTAAAAGCAAGATGATATAGATAGATAGTTACTTTCATAGTAGTCCGGTATAGGAGGAACGTTAATGTCAGATACTCTTATATCTTCATCTTCGTCTGGGAGGTGGTGGGACATCCTATAACCAAACACTTCAGCACCTGACGCTTTATTCGTTACCTGACGTTCGAAGTTTATGTTGATAACCACACCTGTCGGGAAACCCAACGGGGCACTAAAGAAATCTATCTTCAAAAATAAAAGAATACCATTGCTACTATCTAGCTTCAATACGACAAGGATAGGTATCCGTCCGATATGTGACAATGTATATAAAAACTACTGTACCTTCCACAGCTGCAGGATTATTTACAAGCAATACCTACGTTAATTCAAACAAACAAACGTAGATGAACTACGCACACAGGTACATTCGCGACTCCAACTTACACTTCAAGAAAATACATTCTTAGAAATCTAACGAGTGTCTCATGAGGCCTCCTGCACCAAGATGCAACCCATTAGGAGGGGGGGGGGGCCCAAGGTACTCATACAACCGTTTACCAATAATTCACTGTCAAGGCGAGATTTAGATTGCACTTAAACAGGCGTTTGAGGGACACTTAAGATCTAAACCAAATATTCCATTTTAGTATCTATGGGGAGGAGGGATTACAAACTTTTTACTACCATATACTTTCCCAAATGTAGATGGCAGCTAAATTTAGGCCTATACGTCTTTATAATAAAGACTAAAAAGAAAGGTATATTTGAAATAACTAGATAAAGTAGACCGAAACATTTGATACGATAACAGACTTTACACCCTTGAGAACTAATAGACTGCATATTATCATGCAAGTGGCAGATTAAGTAGAGACTTGCCGCCACGGTCGTCGGGCGAGCCTTGGCTGCCTTTGTAAGCGTGGAGCGCGTTCACTATTGTGTGTAGTGAACAGCACGACCATGTTCTCGTGTCCCAAGTTCCGCCACACTGATACTAAAAAAAAAAATAAACCATTAGCTCTGAATTACTCCAATCATGGGTACATGTAGTCTGCGGCTAGTTTAATCTTCTGAAATTTAACCTTGTCAAAAATACATATCAGTAAGAAAACTGTTACATTTGAATTTCGAGACAAGAAAATTTCAGTTTATGTATCGTAGATTATAATTATACTCTACTAAGAAATTGTTGAATGGGTTGGGCAAATTTGTAATTTATCTAAAAGGGGATATTCACGAATATGCAAGATGGCATTGACGTTATTAAAATTTTTGGTAATTTATGCGCTTTAAAAATTACAATGCCTTTAATACTCTTCTCCCACCAAGAGGTTAAGAGAAGCTGAAGCACACATGGCAACCAAAATTAAGAGACTTAAGGCAAGGTTAACAGACACGTTAGTGTTGAGAAGTCCGCGTAGGTCAGTCACATGTGGACCAAGATACTTCCTAAATATGCTTAATTGGTATACTGTATTTTTCTTACATTTCACCGTCACTAAAGTACCTTTCTTTCCAAGACCTTAGAGAATATGGCAGCAGCATAGGTGATGCTGGAGGCGGGGCAGACGGTGGCGGGAGTACACACACTGGAAGGTGGACATATCGGGGGCTCCTGCTGGAGGAGGGCGACCACCGAGTGCTGTACGACGTACCCAGGCCACGGTGTTACCTCCACCGGGATGCGCCGAGTGGTAGAGTTCTGCAAGTTATTACATAAAACCTACATTGTCTCTGTGGACAATTGAAATTTGTTTTCATCCATTACTGTAACCCTTCACTAGTCTGGACTACAGAGAAAAAACACATGGGTACATTCGGTGTTTAATAACTTAAACCAATAGGGAAACTCTGCATTAAAAGAGTAAGCAAATAGAAATCTTGGGGTCTGCTAAAGATCTTGATATTTATACCTCCATCCGCAAGCTATAATCTTCGTGAGCATCCTTAATAGCCCCACACATTTTTCTGAAAATATTTACTTCGTCCCAGAAACAGATCCCGCGGAACTTGCCTTGCAACTCATTTAATATGAACCAGTATTATTGGCCTCCTTTTAATGGAATTATCACCCGAGCCAGGAGAAAATGGCTTTAGCGACGTCACATCTTGTGTGTTCCTTATCTCGCCTCTTTCATGGCTCAACGTCCCCGCGGCCCGGTCTTTCATCGGGCCTCCGGGTTGGTGGTCTGGTCAGCCAGGCTGTTAAACGCAGCTGCTCGTAGCCTAACAATCACAGCGTGGCCGATCAGGTATCCTTTGGAGGAGTTATCTTTTTTCCAACACCATGAGAGGTGGGTGGGGGGGGGGGGGTGAAGAGGGAAGAAACAGCCTAAGGTACTTGTCCTTTTGAGATGGACCTTACCGTCTCAAACGTACTTAACTTTTGAACCTTGAGTGATCTGCTAGTTATGGCCCTTTATGTTTAGAGGGAGAATGTTGAAAGGTCTTGGGGCCCTTTATGTTGGCAAGAGTTATTTCAGCATACCTATTGCACACCTGCTTTTCAATGGGGTTATTTTGCACTTCCTGCCATACCTCCTGGTTTATTTCCATGTGCCGATTTTGAATCTTAGTATTTTGAAAAATAAATTATGCAACTCTAGACTGCACTCTAGAAACGGATTTCAACATTTTAGGCCAAAGGCCATCTTTCTCTGACCTTTCACAAAAGTTTTTTGGTACAGCAGTCCACATGCTGTACTACCATCCATAGTAACTAAAAGACAAGTCTCTGTACAAGAGATACGCAAGAGAAACTTAACACGAAATTGACAACTTCCATACTCGCCTCAAGCATGTAAAACCAGTTTGTGGAGGTGGGCGTGAAGGGCGTGGGCAGCCTAGTGTGGTTCCGGCAGCACACCGTCCCCTCGCTGTCCACCGTCCGCCCACACATGTACTGTGGAATTATTGGAAAAACAAAAACTTGCTAGGGTCAACAGATGGGGGTACTAGAAGATTTTAATTCAGAGCTTCGTCTATACTTAACTTTTAAGGAATTTGCAGCGATTTGAAAACTTCGCAAATTTCTTCATTTTCTTTAGGAAAGGACGCAGTTTCATTAAGCAAATGAAAGACCATAAAACAATTATATATAGCCTTATATTTTACACAAGTTCTCAATAATTAAGCACATTGTACAAAGGCCAAACAGCCATAGAAGACTGTCGTTGATCGCGTAATTATCGCTAATCATGATACTGCCAACTAGTGTAGTTAGGGGTAGCAGCTTTGCATTTTTAAAGCAATTTAAATTCATGGCAGAGAAAACTATCGCCTGGTCGACAAAACTGAATAATTAAATTTAGAGTTTGAAATTCTTAAAAGCTAAATGTGGTGATAATTCCAATACGACTAATAAACCACATTACTGCAATCAAGTTAGTTACGTAGCAGTTTCAGTATATAATATTTGTTATATGAACTAAACCAACATGGCCCCAAATTAGGAAATCTGCTACACAATTTTCGGGAGTAAAAAAATATTACATTTGTACTTGCCTGTATGTCATCCTGGGCTGTACCTCTATCTCGATTGCTGGCCAGTGGCTGGGGTGTGTACTGGTAGGCGAAGTGTCCGGGGAGGCAGAAGGTATTGGGCACACACCAGGACTGGGGAGGGCATGCGAAGTGTGGGGCACTCTGGACCCCAGACACACACAGCATCATCGCCACTAGTATTAACACCTGTAAAGCATTTGTTACATCTTTGTAAATATTTGAACATGATTTATGAGTTAGCCAGTAATATATTACACTAAACACCTGCAATAATCAAATCATACTAATTTAACCTCCACAAGTACCAACAAATGAAAAGTAACACAGTTACTGTAGTAGAGGAATTAATTATTTAGGCTGCTTTTTTCCTTAAAAAGTAAATAAAACCAATGACGAACAGAATACCATATTCCTGGCGCTGGCAACAGCTGTAGAACGTCTCCAACTACTAACATCAGGAGCGCCAACACTAGGCAACATGTCCCTCCCTTGGACAAATGAGAAGTGACGCTGTGGTTGATATCTTGGGAACTACTGGTGTTCTGCCCGTTGCCACGGCCACCTACTGGACGTTGGTCACACCAGCCAACTGCCACGGCAACCCGTCCTCAGGTCGTTGAAACAACAACGGTCGTACCCCAAGATACAACCATCAATTTTAACGTATTGTGTATCAAAATATGTTTGCTCACTTATATAAATTAATATTATTATATACTAAAGATTGGTTTAGGTTAGGTGCAACCCATCCTCAAACAAAGCCCATTCCATCCAGCGGTCGACTCCAAATTCGCATTCATAAATTTCATCATTCTGTTCATTCAAAACAGGACTTATTATATATAAATTAATATTATTATATATTATCATATTGTGCATATTTAGGCACTAGTTTGGTTAGGTTAGGTGTTTAGGTTCTGTTGCCGATTATTTGTATTTCAACCCGTCCTCGACTCAAGTCCATTATATCCAGCGGTCGACCCCACAGACACATTCATAAATTTTTTACATGCTGTTCATTCAAAACAGGAATTTTCTCAAGTATATATTAATATTATAATATATTAGCATATTGTGCATATATAGGCGTAGGTTGGGTTAGGTTAGGTGTTTAGGTTCTCTTGGCGATTATTTGTATTTGTAGTACCTGGAGTGAAGCATTTACAGCGTTGTGGTTCTAACAAAATTCGTCAGTGAAGCACTTGTTCCGGAAGTATTCGAACGAAATCAGTTGTGAGTCGTGTGTAAACCGTTTTTCATTCATTTTCATAAACAGGGGCTTTGGCGAGTTGTGTTATAAAATAACACATTTACAGTGTTTACACCGTTGTGGTTCGAACAAACTCCGTCAGTGAAGTCCCATGTGTCCCAAATAACACATAATCAACCCGTTATCTAGAGCATTCCAAACGTCAGTAAGCTGATGTACTAATTTGCCTGAACCTACCCTAATCGATGACCCACGAATAGAAACGGGACATCACGTCAATTATGCAAATCGTTGTGATCTTTAAGTACATCGCATTTTGACGATCGAAAAGGCCAAAAACTGCGCTGTGCTATACGAGAGGACGGGTTGCAGCCTAATCAACTAGCCTTCCGGGACAAAATTAGCATAAATTAGAGTTGTTTTGTTGAGAACATATAGAAGAGTTGCGGGGGGCAGTAATATGCTTAGTCACAGTGATTAGCGGCAGACTCCGGGAGGCGACGGGTGTCACGGGCTGCAAGGGGTTTAGTTACTCTTTGGACAGTGTTGGGGAAGGGTACAACTCCTCTCACCCACCGAAACATAAGTAAATCCTTAGACTCGCTCTCGATATACATATTTATATATAACTTGCTTGATTACCGTCAAGGATTGGAACTTGCTTGACTAATGAATTTGGGGACTTCATTTCCTGAGCCCATTATGTGCGTATGTAACGTTATTTACTGCTGCTCATGGGATGGGTGGGGGCCCACTATCGCCCACAAGATGGATGTGGGGCCAACTATCACCCACAAGATGGGTGGGGGCCCACTATCGCCCACAAGATGGGTGGGGGCCCACTATCGCCCACAGTATGGCTATATAGGTCATAAGAACCAAATCAGTACACTATAGTCAGAATTGAAAATATATCAACCTATGGGTTGATATAACTACTGTGCATAAAATGTACAAAATATGTACTGTTGTTCCCATAAAAATAGTTCACGTTTGCAGTGCATCATTTTGTGTGGTGGCAACAGGAGAGGGCGGCTGCTCGCCCACACGCCAGCCCCATCCCACTCCCTCCCACCACTTACAAGTTAGCCAGGCTGGCAACACAATCACTCACTATATACTTTATTTTTTTGCAGGGATATTCCTGCGCGGGGCCCCTAAGCCTCTGGCTGGCCACTACATATGCGCACCCAGGCGCAGAGCAAACAGTAATACACGAATAAGTTTTTTTCATCTGATACATCTATTCACCTAGTAGTAAATAGATACCTGAGAGGTTTGATAGGTGCTGCATCCTGGGACCGTGTGTACTCACCTAGTTGTACTCATCTAGTTGTGGTTGCCGGGGGTTGAACTCTGGCTCTTTGGGCCCGCCTCTCAACTGTCAATCAATCAACTGTTTTTATTATTTTTTCCACACACATCCAGGAAGCAGCCCATAGCAGCTGTCTAACTCCCAGGTACCTGTTTACTGCTAGGCGTACAGGGGCATCAGGGTGAAAAAAACTGCCCATCTGTTTCCGCCTCTGCCAAGAATAGATCCCCGGACCCTACGACTACGAATTCCGAGCGCTGTCCACTCGGCCGTCATGCCCCTGTACTCAGCCGTCAGGCCCTGTAGTGTGAGAGAAATATGCGTAGTAGAACCCTAGGAGGTTCGAGCAGACTCCAGGTTGTGTAACTTTTAGCATATCAAATGCTAAAATGAGTATGGGGCCCATATCCATAGATTAAGGCGAGGGGACGGGGGAGTGGGGAATGGTTGGGAGGACGAGGGAAGAGGGGACGGGGGAGTAGGGAATGGTTGGGAGGACGAGGGGACAGGGGAGTGGGGAATGGTTGGGCTAAACTGAACTAAATGCTAATCAGTCCATGAGTTAAGGCGTGTCTTGGGATTACCCAGGACGCTGGTTCAATCTCACCGTCCTGCTCCAAGGATTTTCTCATAGATATATTATGTTATTGTGATTTTACACAATATAGCAATAATGGTTCGTAAAACGGACTTTTTAGTTCGGACTTAAACGGTCTTTTTAGTACACAGTATGATTTTCTTAACTCAAAGCACACTTAGCGAGCTAAGTATGTAGTCTCCGTGGCGCAGTGGTAAAACACTCGATCGGCGCTTCGCAAGTGCTTTGGCCTGGGTTTGTATCCTGGTCGGGAAGGATTTACTTGGCGCCAATCCTTAACTGTAGCCTCTGTTCTCCCAGCGGTGAATGGGTACCTGGTTGTTAAACGATTTGGCGGGTCGTATTCCGGGGAAAATTAGGATTAAGGACTTGCCCGAAACGCTACGGGTGCTGGTGGCTGAACAAGAATGTAAAAACTCTTGTATATATAAATAAATACAACAATAAAAATAAATAACTCATATTGGATTTACTATTTGCAAGTTGACCTCGCCTGATTCTCAGAACTGATTTCTTGGATCGGAAAACCACATGAATAGCTTGCTATTATTAAACAGTTAATGAGCTCCGAAGCACCAGGAGGCTGTTTATAACAATAATAACAGTTGATTGGCAAGTTTTCATGCTTGTAAACTGTTTAATAAATGTAACCAAAGCCTTCAAAGATTGAGGAAAGATGTACACGTTCGTAAGTGCTTAACACGTTCATTCGTAAGATTTTCAGTTATTTCAGAGTGCCGTTTATATAAACGGCACTCATGGCTCGTTAAACGAACATTTTGGCTCTTAAAACATTTCAAATACGTAAATCGACCTTATTGATTAGTAAAACAGCTTTCCTGACACGTCGCAACTTAGCCTAACTTAACCAAGGCCCATAAAGTTTAATAATATTAATTCGTATTTAAAGCCTCACCCAACTGGACCATGACCCACAAATTGGTTTATATCCAGGTACCTAATTACTGCTGGGTGAACAGGGGCGAATATTTAAAGATTGGTAAACAGACAACAATCAATCCTGCCCAGTGCTCGAACACAGTTAAAATTGCTGGGGCGAGCATGTTACCACTGTGCCACAAGGACTGTATTACCATCGACAATACTTTGTCTTTATTCTTCTGTAATGAAGTTTAAAATTGACTGGTAAATTCATACAGTTTATACACATGTCCACCTCTTGAATGGGGCATTGTAACACTAAACTGTGTTATATTTTATGTCTTTTTGTTTAACTTTACAGATCTCAGGAAAAGTGTGCCAAGATGATTACTGAGGTTCTGCTCTTGGTGTTTCTAGCTGCCTTAGTGATATATTATTGGCAGAACAGTTCAGATCAGAAGCTGCCTCCAGGTGAGTCACAGTAGACTAAGTGCACATGGGAAAAAAATGGCACTTTTCCATTAATCAAACCTATGTGATAAAGTCGGCATAGAGGAGACACTTAAGGGGCCGTCCCAAAAATCTAGTTGAATGTAGTACATTCTACAATTTTGTTGGTACAGCATCCTACCAACAAAGCAGTGTCCTTTGTTGGTAGGACCCTAAATAGCTCCCAGTTCCTACCAAATATCCTTTTTTTTCCCATTGGGATTTTGTGGTTCATTACTGGTGGTTTTGAGGGCAGTTGGGGGTAGGCCAGGTGACCTGCGCCACCTTCTGGCGACAACCGAGAACATTAAGACTAGAGTTGTTTGCCCACAACAATGATCCGTAGCCTTATTTGCCTCATGACTCCGTTATTTCAAAGAATTGCTTGTTCTATTATGCTTAAACTTTCTGGAGTTTTTTCTTCAGTTTTGGGCAGATTTATGATCTCTAAAACGTCATTCCTCATAGAGTCAAATTCTGATGCTTGCTTCTCGTAGATCAGTGTGGCTCCGAGAGACCTGATTCCTCTAACATAGAGTAGGCACCGATGTGCTGCTGAGTCATTCACCAGGAAAGAGCGTTTCATTACATTTCACTTTTGATCTTTCAGGACCCTTTTGTTTACCCATCATTGGCAGTATAAAGCAAGTCATGGTAGCAGACGATGCCCGTGAACTACATAGAAAATTTGGTGACGTCTTCAGGTGAGCGAACAATGTGATCCTGCTGTTGTTTAAGAGAGTTAACTGATTTTACTATTGGGGAAGGACAGGGGGGTTTAGGGAAGAATGGGGGTTATAGCTCAGATTTTTCCTATGAGAATAAATGTAAACAAACATTTCTTAATTGCAGAATAAAGATGGCAAGTATAACAATTACTTTCATCTGCAACTTCAAGCTTGCAAAGGAAGCATTCTTGAAGACGGAATGTAGTGACCGTCCTCACTATAAAAGCTTTCATTACCTCTCTGACGGTAGAGAAGCAGGTTTGTAGCATCCTGTCTATACCTTTTCTCCTCTACCATCTGTACCTTCCCCATCTGACATGTAAATTATACCCAAAATGACATATTTGACAACGTGGAGTAACTCAACAATTTTCCTTCAATGTTTAGTTTCTAACAATAAATATAATAAAACTTAACGATGAAATTATTCTTGTCTTCTTTATCTGTAGAGTATGTTGAACCGCACTCAGGGTGAGCTAAATCACTTAAATATGGTTCTGAGAAGCGAGTTTCTATGCAAGCCTCAGACTTACTCAGACTTGGTCCTGCTCTCTCAGCGGTACAGCAAATACTGCCAGGGGTCAGTGCGACCCTCTCATGATGTCACGTTTTGGGGACTTGTATCCAGGTTTCTCTCTATTGCTCAGTCTCCTCTGGCAGCTGTAGGCAGATATTTTGTTACATCTCTGGAGATTTTCTCTGTGGCTGGTGAGGCGTTGCCTAAATTGTTCGTACATATGCTTCATGATGTTGTGTTGGGCTTATCTGGAACTCTCCTAACCTGCGAGCGATGTATTTAACCCGTCCTCTTAAAATAACGTCGCTGTTCGCTCGTATGTGCGCTATGGCCAAAAATGGACGTAATTTGAAATGAAATCGGCTCACGAAAGTGACGTACTATCCCGTTTTCTGTTTAAGTCCTCTGGCTTACTCGGGTAGTTTAGGTGAGGAAACTTTCAATTAACGGTTTTCATGACGTTTTGAAGCGGTAGGAGAACATCCTGCCCTCCTAACATACCAGAGGTCCCTTAACTTACTGTTTTGGGAAAAAATCCAAAATTGATTTTCAGTTATTTTTCATTTTCAAATTACGTCCATTTTCGGTCATACGGGCAAACGGCCAAATTCAGACGTAATTCGCAAGAAGACATATTCCACTTTTAGAAGTCCGTTTGAATGATTTTGCTGTCTACTCCTATTTCAGCCGTCTGTACTCTGCTAAGGAAAGGTGTCATGTTTTGTATGCAGTGTCAAGGTTCCATTCACTTGACCAAGAGTCTTGGCTGAAGGCTATCCTACCCTCCTGCTATGGCATCCATGAGTTGGTTAGCCTCCAGGACGAGGTACTTATTCTGTGGCTCTGGCTGGCTGAGTGCGTGTGGCTCTGCTCTTATTTTTCCTGCTACTTTTTGCCTGCATGAGGCTCTGTCTGGTATTGGGATCTCGGCGGAATCGCTTCCACGGCTCTTACTGGTGCTTTTGTGGGAGATTTCTGCTTGCCTTTTTATAGTTTATTTGTATTTATTTATATACAAGAGTTCTTTCATTCTTATACAGCCACTAGCATGTGTAGCGTTTCGGGCAAGTCCTTAATTCTATTTTTTCCCCAAAATACGACCCGCCAAATCGTTTAACAACCAGGTACCTATGTGCTGGTGGGTGAACAGAGGCTACAATTAAGGATTAGCGCCAAGTAAATCCTCCCCGGCCAGGATTCGAACCCAGGCCAAAGCGCTTGCGAAACGCCGAGCGAGTGTTTTACTACTACGCCACGAAGACTGATGGGTGAACAGGTCACTGTCATGGTGGGTGGAGAGAGTGTGTGGGACCCATATAGACCACTTGCTCAGATCAACCGAATAATAATTAAAAAATTATTATTTCATTAAAATTTGATGCCCAATTTTTGTCTTTCCCATTAAATACATTTTTAAAATTAGTTATATTCCTTAACTTTGCAACTACATATAAATTTGCTCTGTAATTGTTCTTAGTTTGACATGTACTTATATATATATAATAAGATCTAGACAAGGGCAAAAGGCGATACAAAAAAAATGTATACATATGTATTTATATTTTATTTTAGCGGTTTTGTGTGCTATAATATTTTTGTTTATCTACAACCAGGTGTGATATTTTCAAATGGACAACGCTGGCAGAATGTGCGTAGATTCTTGTTGCGTAACTTGAGAGATCTTGGAATGGGCAAGTCTTACTTGGATAGTGCCATACAGGAGGAGGCAGTGATGCTGGTCAATGATTTTAAAAAGTATGACGGCAAAGAAACTCCAATTCCTCAGTCTGTTAACATTGCAGCTCTCAATGTCATCTGGCAACTTGTGGCAGGTAGGTTAAATGTAATCTCTTTCACCTAGCAGTAAATAGGTAGACATGAGTTGGTAATGAGGGTGAACCAGAGATGACTTTAACTTGATATTATTTTATTAACCTAATCATGTGTAAACATTATAACGAAAAAATTACAATTAATAAAAATGCATTTTAGTTTTAAATTTTTAAGTTGGTGTATTTTTAGTAATTTTGTCCCATATTCCTAGGACCCTTCTCCTCAACCCACACAACTTCTCCCCTTCTAAAAGTGTATTTAATCCAAAATTGCATTTTATGTATTCATTCTTTACCTGAAGGTGTTCGAGAATGGAACGGAACGTTGTAGAAAATAAGTCCTTCAGTAATTACTTGAGTTTCTTTACAGTGAATTTTGGTAACTAGATTGCTCTTCCTAACACTAATACTAAGAAAATAGAAGCATAGAAAGCTTACATTATAAGAGCAATAATTTATGCATGCTTGATGCATTCTAGTACTGTACCTGAAACAAGGAAATCTAGGCTAATTTATATTAATATTAAAAAGTTTTACTTATTTTAAGCAGTCACTTAATCAGGCATACTACTAATATTATTTGATTATCTCCTTAGGTTGTCGCTATGATCTGAATGACGAGGAGATTCATACCTTTATCAAGCTCATAAAAAGCTTGCAAGAAGACACCACTGCTTTTATGTTGCCAGAGTGCTTTCCTATACTAAATTATCTGCCTGGTTTTCTCACAAGAAAACTCCTTAGAACTGATTTGATAGAAGAGATTAAAAGGAAAGCCTTTCAATTGACGGGGGTGAGTATGGGTGCAGTGCTATTTTGACAGGGTGAAGCATAAGAATATATGGGCTTCCATACACTGTTTCATTTTGTTATAGGTTAATTCTGAATTACAGCGCCTTGATAAAGGATGTAGGTGTCATTTAACAATTTGGTTTAGAATAATAATAATACACTTGCACGTGTGTTGGGTCTTCTCTTCGCCTTCCTTCAGACACTATGGCTTTCCAGCAAGTTTCCCCGTAGTTACATTATTGTTTCCTGGTGTCTTCGTTGTGTAAATATAGCCACGCATTACTTAAACTTAAGAAAAAGGTCCAGGAATAATGGGAGGGGACCGTTGACAAGCCCCTAGATTCCTGTCCCCCCGATGGAGATGGTGGCCCTCAGATAAATACAGATAAATATTGAATGAAACTCATAGTTCTATGACCACCACTATCAATGGCATGCAGTCTCTCGAGTCTGAGAATAATGTAAATAATTAATTAACATGTAATTAACAGTAATTGTTAATCCTGCCATAACGTGTCACAAGTACTCTAACATGTACTGCAACTTATCCAATTGTATTTTGTTCTGATCAGAAAACTATTGAATCTCACAAGGCTAAATTGGACCCCAACAACCCTCGTGACCTCATTGATGAATACCTTCTTGAGATGAGTAAGAAGAGTGATATCGCGGCCTTTTTCAGCGGTATGTTTTGCTCTTTATTTTAAAATTGTCTTTACATTTTATTGCTACATTAATTTTAATTTGTGAGCTCAATAATTTATCATGTGATGATACGAGAGGGATATGGAGTACCATACATTTTTACATTTAATTATATTGTGAAGACGGTATTATGGTACATTAACCCTTAAACTGTTTTTAAATATGTTGTTGAGGATAAGATCTGTCATCCAAATTAATTATGGTGTTGTGACAGTCAATGACAGTGTTTTAGAGGATGATCCGGTGACACTGCATGCTATTGGTATTGGCAAATAAAACCATCTCCTTTCTTTTACCTAATGACGAAGTTTTCCTTGTCAATTGTTTCGCGCTATTTCACTATCTTAAATGTAGTAATCATGTCACCTCTTTCTCTTTTCCAACCTTGGCATCATAGCTTTTCTCTTTCAATTCTGTGGATCATCATTCCCAGTGTATGTCCTTGGATCTTACCTATTTTCACAACGTTTTGTTTTTGTCTTAAGATAGGAGCACCACATACACGCATTTTCTGATTAGAGACTCAAGTAATTGAAATTGAAATTGAAATTGAAATAAGTTTATTGAGGTAAAATACACACAAAGGGATGAGGTAGCTCAAGCTATTCTCACCCCATTCAGTACAACGTGTTAATATATACATAAGTAATTGGTTAATAGCTTGAGCATTTCATCAGTCATGCACTTGAATGTAATCTTTAGATTTGCTAATAGTACATAAGATTCTTTGACTCTTTTGCTTACGTATAGTCTTTAAGTGGTAAATAAGTTTTCATTACCACTCCTAAAATCTCTTTCCGTGTTGATTTCTTAAGTGTTTGGTTAGAGCTTGTAGTATCTGTACAACCTGTTGTCACTCCACATTTCCATGTCATGGCATCTGTCCTCATTCAAATCCATTTGTCATTGTTTGCTCCAATGTTTTGGTATGTATCAGTCAGTCTGGCTCTTTATTTGGCCTAGTGTTTTGCTTCACCGACAAACATGGTCATGAAACTTGATCATTTCACGCAGCATCATGCAGGCTAACCTTGCTGGCCACCACAGTTAAAGCTTTTATTACATATACATGCCATTAAACTGTAAGATTGGAATGTTTAAATTTTAGATTTAAAGGTGCAAATATGCATGATTTAAAGATCCGTGTGCAAATATGAAAGATACATAAAAGGAAACAGTAAGTTTAATAAATTTTAAAGTCATGTTAGAAAAAACTAATGTTTAAGAGGTTTTCATTAAGTTGATTGTGAAGGATTCGTGTAGTTGCACTTAAACGCACAAGAAAAGTTAGGTTCATTAATGTTCAACCTTAGTGATTTATATGGAATATTAAGGTAAAGAGCTTAAATTAGGCTACAGTATTAAATTAGTGTTCTTGAGGCTTGGCTACACCTGTTTATAAGCTATGGGGGATCTCTGAACCCCTACAGTAAAAAGTACCTATCATTACATTTAATACTTGATATATATAAATCTTTTTGGATTTTGGGTGTTTTGGGGCTTATAGTTTTGGAGTTTGGATGTAGTAGCAGCATGTTGTAGTATATTCATTACAGTATTCAGAAACTGAAGTAGACAAATTTCTTTCATCAGAAGAGGACCTGACAAGAAATATATTCGATTTGTTTTCTGCGGGATTTGATACCAGTTCCAGCATGCTGCGATGGATATGTTTGTATATGGCTGCCTACCCTGAGGTCCAGCAACGTGTGCAGAGAGAGATCGATAATGCAGTTCCCAGAGACAAATTGCCTTCACACAATGAAAAATCACAGTAGGTGTTGATCTAATTCACGTTTTTTTTTTTTTTGCTGTGTCTATGTTATCTTGAGGTTATCTTGAGATGATTTCGGGACTTAGCGTCCCCGCGGCCCTGTCCTCAACCAGGCCTCCTGAGGCAAAATTGAGACCTTTATAGATCAGAAGGACAACTGAACCAAGAGTATTAAGGGTAGAAGGAAGGAGAGGAAGAGACAGGGGTAGTGGGCGGATACAGTGATGTGTGAAATAAGATGTCTAATGCTTCACATCACAGAAATGTCGATGAAAAGGGTTTTTCACTGAAATATATGAAGTACCACTGTGTAGTATAGTGACTCTATAGTTTTTTATTAGTAGGCTACGGAGTTTGTAAGGTAAAGTAGTATGAAAATTCAATTGTCACATCCTGTTAAATGTTACAAATCTTATATATATATATATATATATATATATATATATATATATATATAATATAATTTTTTTGTTTTAATTCCAGACTCCAGTACTTGGAGGCTGTGATTCATGAAGTTCTTCGGATATCATCTTTGATCCCATTTAGTGTGGGCCATTATGTCACAAAGGACATAGAGATTGGAGGTTACCTGTTACCAAAGGTTAGTTGCTGGCGTCTCCAGAGTCCTCTGTTGCTCTTGAGCCTTTCACAGTGGCTCTAATATTCTTGGATTGACCTACTGAGGCATTCTAAGTAACCTTTGAGTTTTGGCATAGTACAGATGCCTCTTGGTTATTGCACATCACTAAGCTAGAAAAGGTACAAAGACATGTAGCTAAATAGCTTCCGAAACTGAAAAACAAAAGCTACGAGAAGAGGTTGCACACATTAAATATACCAAAAGCTAGAAGATAAAAGAAAAAGAGATGATATGATCACTACGTACAAAATAGTAAAATGAATTGACAATATTGACAACGAAGAATATTTTAAAACTGCAACTTTAGAGAACAAGAGTTCTCTCTCTAAGAGTTCTTACTGTAAGTTCAAACTAAGGAAACAAAGGTACCGAAAAGATATCAGAAACTTTTCTTTTGCAAACAGAATGGTAGACGGTTGGAACAAGTTAAGTGGGAAGTGGTGGAGGCCAAAACCGTCAGTAGTTTCAAAGCGTTATACGACAAAGAGTACTGGGAAGATGGGACACCACGAGCGTAGCTCTCATCCTGTAACTATACTTAGGTAATTACACACACACACACACACACACACACACACACACACACACACACACACACACACACACACACACACACACACACACACACACACACACACTAATGACAAATATAAAGGAAACATAAATTTATTGGCAACTGTAAATCTTATTTGACTGAATTGGTAACTATAAGATATAAGTTTATCTTTTTAACCTTATTACAGGGCACGACTTTCCTGGGGTGTTCTGTGATATGCCATGAGGATCCCAACTACTGGCAAGACCCTAAACAGTTCAATCCTGACCGCTTCCTGGATAACGATGGAAAGTTTGTTTCCCAGAAAGAGGGTTTCTTCCCATTTGGAATAGGTAGGCTTGCTCTTCCTTCTGGCATTATGTAGTCGGACCTCGAGTTTGCAGTTACAACATAAATATATTGAGATGTCAGTATTGAGACGGTCAGCGTTAAATCCCCGACCGTCCAAGTGGTTGAGCACCATTCGTCTCCCCCCCCCCCTCCGTCCCATCCCAAATCCTCATCCTGATCCCTTCTAAGGGCTATATAGTCGTAATGGCTTGGTGCTTTCTCCTGATAGCTCCTTTCCCCTTCTACTATGAACTTAATCTATATATAAAAATGTGCTTGTTTTATTGTGCAGATATCTTGACTTGGATAGCTAATCAAGCTTTAGTTTGATTAGTTTAGTTTGATTAGTTTCCGCTCGCGGAACGCCAGGCGAGTGTCTTACCACTACACAGTCTCCGTGGTGTAGTGGTAAGACACTCGCCTGGCGTTCCGCGAGCGCTATGTCATGGGTTCGTATCCTGGCCGGGGAGGATTTACTGGGCGCAATTCCTTAACTGTAGCCTCTGTTTAACGCAACAGTAAAATGTGTACTTGGATGAAAAAACGGTTCTTCGCGGCAGGGGATCGTATTCCAGGGACCATAGGATTAAGGACTTGCCCGAAACGCTACGCGTACTAGTGGCTGTACAAGAATGTAACAACTCTTGTATATATCTCAAATAAAAAAAAAATAGTTGTTGGTTATATTAGGGCATATGTCATGACTGAAACTGAATAAGCTGGGGTACAGATTACTTGTTTTTAACTCTTATATTCTTTTTTATATTTTCCATAATTCTGGCATAATTTGTAATTCTAATAATTACATATCAAATTTGTCGCTAGGTCGGCGGCAGTGCCTGGGGGAGGCCTTGGCCCGGATGGAGATGTTCATCTTCTCGGCAGCACTGCTCCAGAACTTCACCTTTTCTCCACTTCCCAACAAGCAAATCGACTTGCAACCCGATTCTATTCCATTTATACAGTTTGCAAAAGATCAAGATATTGTCATTGCCATCAGAAAGTAGGCAAGGCAATGAGTCACAATAACGTGGCTGAATATTACACACCTGACCTAACCTAACCTCATCTAGCCTAACCTGCAAATCTGAAAATGAAAAATTGACGGCGTTTCGGTCCGTCTCTGACTATTATCCAGCCGTGTAACGTGTTAATGGTCATCAATTCATTTTTTTTTAATAATTTGTGGGTTGGGTGTCTAGCAGTGATCGTGGAGAAAATGCTAAGATAAATGTATTTGCTTGAGGCGAGTGAATTATAGGTACTGTACTGTGTATATGTTGCGATTATTTTAACTGTATTGTCATACACTGCCAGTTGGCTCACGCCGGCCTGCACATAGCCCACTTTTGTGTTCCAAGTATATTTTAAAATTATATTACCGATATCTTATATTTTGAGTTATCATTATGAACATGATTTAACATTATAATGTGTACTTCCATACCTGAAGGAAAGGTATGGAAGTGCAGTGGTGGTCCAGTCAGTTTGCTCTGTTGTAAGAAAATCTACTTTCTACAGCCTCGTTGTGAACGCTTAATGAAAGTCGAATTACTTTCATATTTTATATATAAGCACGATATCAAACACGTCCTGCTGGGACAAAGATTAAATCCGGTATGAAAAGTCGGACTTCTTCACTGGGTACTGGCCACTGTACTTGGCCACACATTAATAACACACAACAATAATATATATGCCACGTTCCTTGGTATGTGTCATATATCTCAATCTTTCAAAAAATCTTTCAAAAGCAAAAATTGTTCGTATGCAAGAAAAACCAATTGTATCTTTTTTTCTGGAAAGCATATTTAAATTCCTTTATGTAAATAAATATGGAAGTAAAACTTCCATATTTATTGTTAAATTGTCTCGATTTGATTAAATTTATAATTATACATTAATTATATACCATTACTACAATTATATACGATTAATTCTATACAATTTTATATGGTTGATTGTGATCAGCCATATAAAAAAATTTTTTATTGTACCGGACTATTTTGTGGAATTGTATAGTATACCATAAAGTTAACAAATTATGTAAATAAAGATTACAATGAGAATACATGATGATTTTATTACCACCTGTCTTTCATACTCAGAGGATTCCTGGATTTTGTTGTTAATGTAATGGGGGTTCCCTAGCTGGAAAAATTTGAAAATTTGATTTATTATAAGTAATTAGAGGTCGAGGGGTAATTATGGGTTGTAAATCCTCGGGCGCAGATACCGTAGGTGAGATATGGATAGAAGAATGAATAATAGTGTTACTAAGGTAGAGCAAGATACATAGTATCGAATTTTAGAGTAATATTTAGATACATTTTTGTTATATTTTATATATGACAAAGAAATTCAGCTTGTTGCAAATGTGAACATCCAGGAATTTCCCATCTACTTTGCTCTCAATTTGGGCAGCGTTAATTGTTAGTTTAATGTGATTAAACATTAACATTCACAATCGACTTGAGAATGGTCCAGGACAGACCGAAACGTCGTCGTCCCTTCACTTTCTAGTGTGTGTGGTTTGGTCAACATTTAATGTAATTGGTGGACTTGTTTCCAAACAATATGTAACACGGTTTCCGAAGGCTAGTGTTGATTGACAGTGTGGGAGACGTAGCATCGTTCACATTAACATACTGGTGCCTGTCACTGAGGTAAGGTCGAACGTATTGAAGAGAGTGACTCCTGATTCCATAGTGATACAGTTTGAGAAGGTTATTTATTAAGTTAATGGTTTCAAATGCCTTATACAGGTCAAGAAATAGACCTATGGGTGCTCACTTTTGTCAAGAACGAGCTGCATGTATCAAGTCAAGCATATTAATTAAAGCATCTATAAGAATATTAATTAAAGATATATTTATTTCTAGTCTGATGCTCATGGGTTCTATTACATTTATCTAGGAAGAGTTTCAACTCAGGATTAGAATCTAGGAATAGGGTTTTGTAAGTAAATACCACAAGAGAATATGTGGAGTGAGTATATATTTAGCATGTTTAGGGTTTTAAAAGGGGGAATTATTATAATAATAATAATTTATTTAGGAAAAGTACATACATAGTTGCAGAGTTACAGCACAAATATTTTGTTTGATTTAAAGATAGAGATAGTACATACAATACCTAAAGCCACTAGTACGCATAGCGTTTCGGGCAACTGAAATATATGCTTATACCTGTATCATGCTTATATCCAAGCATGTAGATCTCATTTTCAGAAAGCCATACCTGCTTTGGAGAAAGTTCAGCACCGTGCGGCAAAAATCATTCCTGAACTAAGTAGACTTTAATTGAGGGCCACAAGACTAACAACGCAAACCAGACAAGACAGGACTCATCTCATCGAAACTTTTAAAATACTGAACAATTATAAGGCTATTGATCCTGACCATGTCTTTAAAAGGTCAGATGTAACACAAACAAGGAGAAACACTTTCATGTTTAACAAGCCACAATGTAGCGCGGAAATAGAAAATGCTATTTTACCCACAGCTATAAACCCACATAAATGTAAAAAAAATAAGCTGCTGCATTTCAAAATTCAGCTCGATAAAATCATCATGACTAATAGGGGTACCTTTGACAAGCCGCCGGCTACTCTCTTCGAGGGCCATTTATTTACCTTCGAGAGCCACTTTCTCCAGTGACCTCGTCGAGGTCACTGGAGAGAGAGTGGCTCTCGGGTAAATTCTTGTGTCTATCACTAGGGAAAGATCACATATATTGTAAGGAGTGACCCCTGCAACTGGTTCAATATGAATATAGTTATAGCTAGCTCTTCATATATATTATATAATCTAGATGACGAGCTCATATAAAATAGGTTAGCATCACACTGCTGTATATTTCCAACGTCACTAAACCGATGTACCAAATTGCTGAAACCTAATCCAACCGAGGACCCACGAATAGAACATAAGAACATAAGAACAAGGTAACTGCAGAAGGCCTATTGGCCCATATGAGGCAGCTCCTATTTATAACCACCCAATCCCACTCATATACATGTACAACCCACGTTTGAAACAATCGAGAACATAAGAACAGAACATAGAGGACATCACGTTAATAGAGGACATAAGTTTTTGGCCTTGGGGGCCTTAATCTTAATATTCCCTGGAATACGACCCGCCAAATCGTTTAACAACCAGGTACCCATTTTACTGTTGGGTAAACAGAGGCTACAGTTAAGGATTGCCCAGTAAATCCTCCCCGGCCAGCAGGTTACGAACCCGGGACAAAGCGCTCGCGTAAAGCCAGGCGAGTGTCTTACCACTTCACCACGGGAACTGCTAATATTATAATAATAATAATAATAATAATAATAATAATAATAATAATAATAATAATAATAATAATAATAATAATAATAATAATAATAATAATAATAATAATAATAATAATAATAATAATAGTTATTATTATTATTATTGCCTTGTATTGCCCGAAACGCTGTGCATATTAGTGGCTTTAGGTATTGTATGTACTAGCTGTATCTATAAATCCAACATTATGTTTGTAACTCTTCATCTATGTATGTACTTTTACCTGAATAAACATTTGAATTTGAATAATAATTCACTGTGTCGGGGGACAGGCAGCCAGTTTATACATACTGTACAGTACATATTAAGCTTATTTCGAGGACCCCCCCCCCCAGGATGCAACCCAATAACAAGCTGACTAACTCATACCTACTTACTGCTGGGTGAACAGATGCATTAGGGGGATTGGCAAAATGTGGCCCGGGAATTCGAACCCGGAATTATTGACTCAGTCGAGAACAGGGCCCAGACTACTACGGGGACCTTAAAGCTTACAAATTTGATTTTTTTACTTGAATTTACCAGAGGACCACCCGGACTAGTGGCCTCGAATAGGACAGGAAGCCGGCGGCTCGTCAAAGGTTCCCCCATTTGCCCTGATGATCTTTTCCAGCTGTATTTCAGAAGCCAACAGAGTTCTGCGGTTTACGACTTGGGTTTTATATTTGAAAAGTTATACAAGAAAGTGATAATAGCTTTCTTGGGCTCGTCTCCCGAACCTCTTTGGTGCAACTATCTTTTTATCTACCAACGCTGGTGATAATTAAATTAATAAAGAAGGTTTATTAAAATTATGTAAGGAGTTGGTGGTAGGGGGAGGCTGGGCGAGCCGTACAGTGCGCAGCGCCATGTTGGCAGCCACACTGCTCTGAGCTCTACTGCCTCTACTCTACAGCCTCACTACAGCTCTACTTCTCTACCACTCTACATTAACTTACACAAGTGTTAATAAACTGTTTTACATTTCACGTCAAGATTGCCGCCAATCGTCAGCTGATGATGGATTATCATCGACAACACATGGCCAAGTTTTTGTCAGTTCTCACAGCAAAGAAAAACACCATAGTGCTTCCGGAGAATAAAATAGAGCGAGCTCTGGATATCTTGAAGAACGGTAACAGCAAGAACTCCTTTGACAAGGGAGGGAAGACCAAGTTCTGGATGAAGCAGAAAGGGGTCCAGCTGGTCAGCTTCCCGGAGATCGGCCTAAACGATGTCTTGGTTGTGCCCAAACGAGGTAGGCCTACTGTTGTTATAGATTCAGCTACTCTGAATAAGTTCCAAGTAGCACGGGCTATGGTGAGCCCGTAACTTACCTGGCACAGGAGCGGGGCAAGTAGCACGGGCTATGGTGAGCCCGTAGAGGTTTGACCTGGCACAGGAGCGGTGCTGTGTGCCGTAGGCCTACTGTTAACTAGTCCTAATATATCAAAACTTTTTCCAGTTGATACACTTGAAGGCCTTGACATTTAAAATATTGTGGTTGATAATCAATTCAAATTGTCTGAATTGCTCGAAACGCTGTGTGTATTAGTGGCTTTAGGTATTGTATGTATTAGCTCTATCTATAAATCCAACATTATGTTTGTAACTCATCTTCTATGTATGTACTTTTACCTCAATAAACATTTTGAATTTTGTTTCAGGCAAGGAGCCGGACGGGACGATGGAGAGCTACAGGCGAGTAGTGTCCGAGAGTATGCTGTATGACGTTGTTGCAAGAGTTCATCTAGAAAAGACAGTGCACGCTGGATATAAGAAAGTTAAGGAAATTATAGACTCCGAGTACTATGGTATTCCCAGACAATTTGTACAAGAATTCTGCAAGTCGTGTACGTGCGAGAAGCATCGGTGTAAATCGCGTCAGACCACCACCTTTGCACCCATAGGTCAAATAGGTATGAGTATTTTTTTTCTTTATTTGGCATTGTATTTTGAGCAGTTTTAGAAAATGAGCAGTTGTTTTAAGTTGTATCTTGAGATTCATATAAATTATAATTCCTTGCCTAGCCCAGGATTCCGCCTTGCAGTCAGGTCTACGGAGATGCTGCACTTTAGTGCTAGGATACTGGCCTGTGGGTTGCTGTACAAAATAACTGCTGAATTTTAGTCCTTATCATTTGCTTAAAGTCACGTGTAGGCAGCAGCACGATTTGGATTCGATTAAAATTTGGGTGGCATAACTGAACTTTTATAAGAAAGGTATTAAAAAATAAAATGTCCCCCCCAATCCTAATTGTGCTCAATCGTTGCTACTCGTGTAAACAAACCTAACATAACGAAATAACAAATAAATTTGTGTGACATCACTCGTATGTTATGGTTGCATTCAGGGATCTTTTTAGATACTTACTAGTAATTACCTAAGTGTAGTTACAGGATGAGAGCTATGCTCGTGGTGTTCCATCTTCCCAGCACTCTTTGTTGTATGACTTTGAAATTGCTGACAGTTCTGGCCTCCACCACCTTCTCACCTAACTTGTTCCAATCATCTACCACTCCGTTTGCGAAAGTAAATTTTCTTATATTTCTTCGGCAGCTTTGTTTAGTTAGTTAAAATCAATGACCTCTTGTTCTTGAAGTTCCAGGTCTCGGGAATTCTTCCCTATCAATTTTATCGATTCCCATTACTATTTTGTTCGTAGTGATCATATTGCTGCTATTTTTCTTTCTAGTTTTGCATTTTTAATACCTCTAACCTTGTAGCTCTTGTTCTTCAGTTCTGGGAGCCATTTAGTTGTGAAGCATCCCATGGGCTTGCTAGTATCCATATTAATTTAATACCCAATGGGTGTACATTTGCAATCCTTAATTAAAGGTCAGACAATTCAAATATTAATGGTATAAAGGTGCTGTATGCCTTCCAGTATGACATATTCATGGTCAAGGCTACAAAATATTAAAATGCTGTACTGTGTGTATGTATACATGTAATATATGTATGTACATTATATATGTGGACTTTACACATCATTTGTGTTCTTTTAGTCTGCTATTAAGAGTTCAGCTAGTTTCTCCAAAGTTTTGGAGAGAACAAGAGGAAAAGGAAGTAAAATAAACAAGCAGCATTAGAAGGAGCAGTAGTGCGAAGCAAATTACTAGGAAGTCTGTTTGTTTAACAAAAGGCAAGGTTTATATCAAGAGGATGCTGGTACTGTAATAGTGAGATTTTTTTAATTCAGGTATGAAAAAGCACAGCAGTGTTTCTAGTGGTAGAAGCAAATTTAGGATGAAAGAAAGTTCTTTTAGCTTGAGAATGGTCACAGTTGATAAAATCTAAGGGATAACCAAGGTGTGAGAGACTTAAAGAAGAGAAATTTCAGAATTGAGAAACCGAGTATCACTGAGCATAAGGCCTGATGGAAGAGAGTAGTAGGGCTCTCTCTTTGTATAGTATTTACCTATTAGAACACCCAATTAATTTTTATGCATTACATGGCCAAACTTGTTGAAATTTGAGCTACTAAGTTTTTTTTTCTCATTTTCTTGCCCACCCAAACTTTCTCCTGGCAAAATTTATCAGGTTATATATGTTTTTAGTCTAAAAATCTTTAGTGTATTTATTATTTTTATTTCACATCACAGCCATTTTTCTAAGTCATTGTAAGCAGTTTTATTTCAAATTTTCTTCTCACAATTAAATATTAAGCAAAACTACATTAGTAACACACACAAATTATCACATGTCTCAGTACAGTACAGTACTTGTGATTCTTAAGAGCCTGGTGTGATAACATAGGTTTGGATCATACAGACAAGTAGCTTAGGGCTCTATTGGCTTGACCTGTTGCTGTGACCCTGTTAATTTAACATTACCTTCAACCAGTGAAGAACTCTGCATAATAGACAGCCTCATATTACACAATGCCCTGAATCTCCAAAGAGAACCCCCTGAATATAGTGTGACATCTTTACTTAGTAACCTTACTCCTTGCCAGATTGTAAGGTACCCCCGGTAGCAATGGAGGAGACAATAGTCACTGATGCACCTTCGGTAGACTTGCCACTACTCAAGAGCATCATACGGATCAAGTCGTCGAGACCTACATCACTCACGCCGTCTTCTATCTCCTTGGGCCGTGTTCAGGGTAATATTGTCTACTCTCTCTCACCATAACCTTTTAACTCCCAACCCAGCAGGTCAATTACAGTAAGTTAATCATTTTGTACAGTGAGAAGTTTCTTACCTGGATGACATGTACTGTACATACAGTAATTTTAGATTCCATACTACACTGGTCACCGTAAAATTCTCATCTCTTCGTTGATTAGATTTTTGCAGCTTGTCTGTATTTACTGAACTTCATGTAATTGATCTCTGCTAATCAGGTTGGTAGGAAAAAATCTGGCCATTTACATGTATAGCATTTATTAGTCATTTTCATATTGAAACTCTTGACCAAATTGGCAGTCATATGAGAATGAGAGAACTAGACAAACCTTAGATTTGTCTTTTGTATTATTTATTTTACCATCCAGTTTATTTAGTTCATATAAGAATATATTGCAGCTTAATGAATTAGGTATTAGTCTTGGACCAACAACACTAATACTTGATTCTGTAAGAACTCATAAATAGGGCTAGGATATACTAATAAGATCTACAGGTATGGATTTTCCGAGTTATACCCTGGTTGCTCCCTGAGTCAGTGTTATTTTTGTGCCAACAGTACTGTCTTACTATAAATGAGAGAAGGGAAACATTGGAGATATCTTAATCCAGATCTGGATAACCTCCAGTAGAATTCATCGACACAAGATAAATTCTACTGGAGCAATACTGTACATGGTGACTGCAAAGAGATCGCCATGATCGAATTAGCTCTGCTAATTGCTAGTTGGCCACCCAGCTGCTACACTAGACAACTACCCTCTGTATATATAATTCATTGTGTCAGAAGACAGGTAGCCAGTATATAAATACTGTATATAATATACTTCTTAGGCTTATATTGAGGTTATCTTGAGGTTATCTTGAGATGATTTCGGGGCTTTTAGTGTTCCCGCGGCCCGGTCCTCGACCAGGCCTCCACCCCCAGGAAGCAGCCCGTGACAGCTGACTAACACCCAGGTACCTATTTACTGCTAGGTAACAGGGGCATAGGGTGAAAGAAACTTGGCCCATTTGTTTCTGCCTCGTGCGGGAATCGAACCCGCGCCGCAGAATTACGAGTCCTGCGCGCTATCCACCAGGCTACGAGGCCCCTAAAGAGGTCATTTCCCCCCCCCCCCCTCTCAAGGTTGAATTACTGACTGTCCCCAGGATGCAAGCTGGTTATCTCCTGGGTACCTATTTACTGCTAGGTAGACACATAACCTAACCTAGGTGATAGGAAAGGGGCCCAACCATTTCTGTCCCACCCGGGATTCAACCCTGGAATTCTCGGTTCAGTTCAAAATGAACCCAACTGTACTACTGGAACCCTACTTGTTTGATATGTAATGGTCCCGTGTTTTTAAGTGGAAACGTGTGTGTACATTATTTTTTTTTTCTGACTGGCTCTACAAGGTTATTTTCTCTGTGCTGGCTCGATGCATAATATGGCTATGGTCATTCTGATCTTGAGTTGACCCTTATTTTTTCTTTTGGAGTTCTTGGGCTCTAGTACCAGGCAGGGCATTTAGACTAGGCATACGACAAAGTACGTATATGTTCAGGTATCAACATTGTATACAAGGTTCATTAGTTTCCTTTAGTTATTTAATGATACTGTTATGTGATTTGCTTTCTTTTATTTGCATTTGCTATATGCAATGCCTCATCCATTCCTGTTGGCAGGATTAGGTTAGGGCACGCCTCAAACTCTTTAAGTCTTGTATCTGGATCTTTTCAATGGGCCATGCTCTGGGGGGTGGAGATTTTAGTACATGCTTCGGTTTTCACCTAGGGTTATTTCTTTTGTAACCTACTCTTCTGGGTGTTAGCCTTACTGTCTCTTCCCTGGGTTGAGCACCACTGCATTTGCTAAGGTAAAATTGCTGTGCTGAAACTGACTTCTTTGGTTATAGTCTCTTCTTTCAGTTTTGATCTGGGGAGTAGGTTCTGTAAGCTGCTCTACATTTTTGCCAAGGATTTAAAGCTTCTATGAAATTTGCTCTCTTAGTACTCGCTTATTTGTGCTTGCGGGGGTTGAGCTCTGGCTCTTTGGTCCCGCTTCTCAACTGTCAATCAACTGATGTACAGATTCCCGAGCCTACTGGGGATCTATCATATCTACATTTGAAACCGTGTATGGAGTCAGCCTCAACCACATCACTGCCTAATTAGTGTTTGTAAGTCTTTGCGACTTAGCTGGAACTGGGCCTACACATGTTTGTGTTAGGTTAAAGTGCTGAGACCACGAGTCTTTGTTCTACAGACTGTGAGGAGGGGGCGGAGGTCTTTGCCTCTGTACTGTACTGTACTAGGTTTTTGCTTAGAATTCCCTGTGATTGCCGATACACTCGGCTCTTCAACCTCCTTCCACCAAGTACAGTATAAGAAATATTGCCAGAACAAAAGTGGATGTTTTAAAGAGACAAATAGCAGAAAGTGCTGGATTATCTGGGTTTTTGCCAATATGTTGGCCTGCGGGCCGCTACAAGTAACAACCTGGCAAAGTAATTACCAGCCAAGCTATGCCTCGGGCCAGGTTTGAAGAATAAAAGAACTCTAGAAACTGGCTACAAGTAAACACTGATGCAGTTAGGTTACAGTCTTAGTCTCTAGTTTTGGAGGTCCTGTTTAATTTAAAATCTGTTCTTTTTAGGTTAAGACCCACTGAGCCCACAGATCCTTCCATGCAGATCTCTTTGTTAGGCAAAAAATTTCTGCAGTGTTTCTGGGATGTTTTTGTAAGTAACCATTTGCATTATAGACATTTTAGCTTGCAAAGCTGGTCAAATGACTTCTCACTCAGGTGTTCATCAATAACTATGTTGAGGAATGGTTTTGAAGATTCGGTACTCTCGTTAATGGCTGTTCCATTTATTGTCAAATTGCTTCCTAAGGAAATTCTCCCCCATGTCTAAGTATCGTACAGTAAATCTTAAGGGTTGTAGTTTGGTGAATGGCATGGGGTAGAATTGGGTTGGGCAGAACTTGTCTAACTGTACAATGAAATCAATAACGTGATAAAGCTATAAGAAAAGGTTTGGAGACGGGTTACCCAGAATATGATCTCGATTCTACCCACTGCTCCAAAGATTATCTCGCATGTTTATCACATTATTGTGATCTCATTGTATAATTGTGGGGGGGGGGAATTTTACCCCATCCAGTTTTACCCCCTACACTTTGCCAAACCACAATTCAACCCATCCCTGCCCCTACCCATTCCAGACCCACCCACCTCTTTGCCCAAACCACTTTTCCCACCCCCACCCATCTTAATTCATCACCAATTATTCCACTGCTGCTTGACAGTGGTTGAATTGTGCTTGCCCACAGCTTGAGTTCTTCAGCTCTTTGATCTTGGAGTTTATCCTCAGTGTAGGATATCTTAAATGTGTTTAAAAAAAAATGTACTCTGAAGGGAGGTGCCCCATTCTTCAGAAGCACATTCATGGTTATATTAAAAGTTTCTTACTCAACATGGTGGGGAATGTAAGGCATCTTGACACAATCTACTCCAAGACTGGGTAGCTATACAAAATAGCAATAGATTTTTTGTTTATTTGAGTGTTAGTAATCAGGAAGCACTGCTGGGAGTGCCTATTTGCAGTTTCATTTAGTGAACTCTGCAAGAATAGTTATAACTATTGTTATAATTCTAGTGTTATTAATTTACTGTTATTGTTTACAAATCCTTAGTCAAGATAAACATTATCTTAATAACATTTATGAAAAGTCATATCATTTATAAAAGATATTAGTTATCAGTATCTGAGTTGTATAGTACTTTTTATAGTACTGGTATTGGATAATAATGCAGTATCAGTATCGGTCAAAATATTGTTATTGGTACACCTCAAGTTGCTTGGTTTTGGCTTGCTAGCCAAATACCACTTAGTGGTATCAACTTGCCCCCACTAGTCTCAGCACCCATTATTGCTTCCTGGATTTGCTCTGATCTTTGCACGTGTTGTGATGTCTGGCAAATAATGTATGCAATCAACTATGTGGAGTTCATTTAGAGGAGAATCTTGTTTAGCTGTGTAGAGAATCTTATATGGGTCAGTTTGAGAAGCCTTAATGCTCGCTTTCTTAGAACTTTGTACCACAGTTATCACCTTTCTTGGGTGGTGTTCTCATGGTCTGCTTGGCCTGGTATTTAGCCCAGCATAGTGACAAATGTTTTTAATGTGAAGGGCAGCGATGGGACTAAGCCGTATGTGCCCTTATGTTGACTAATGCCATCGCTTTAATAGAGCAGTTTTGTTACTGTTTTTATAGCAGCTGTAATCAGATTAAGGTACGAGAAAGAGGGAGAAAGAGAGTAAAAGAGTGAAAAAGAGAGAAAAAAGAGAGAGAGAGAGAAATTTTGTAATTGTTTCTTTCACCCTTCCCAAGTACCATTGATGAGAGCTTGAGTTTTAGTGAGCTTGTCTGGCATTTGTTGGTGGGGTATGTGTCCTTTCCATCAAAGTATTTCTTCCTCAATAAGCTTGGATTTTTCTTTTACTGCATCTTCTAACTATTCATATGTGGATGAAAGTAAATTAAATTAAGGTTTATTCCTTGGTTCATGTTGTAAGAAGTTCCTACATTCATAGCTTTCTTCTCAGGTTTGTCATGTGTGGAGCTTCAGCCATCTGGCTTCGAGTACGATTCTCGCGTGGCTAGGCGATGTCTCCCAAGTCAAGGCCACGATTGACCCTTAAAATATATGGCTTTGGACAGGCTGTCTTCCCAGTTGGTTTGTTCTCTGGTCCATCTATGATAGGTGGTGTTGCTCTACATCCTTCAGCATTTCTTGGGCAACTTTCTGCAGCACAGGTGAGTACTCTATTCCCATTTGTCTACAGTTCTGGGTGCTTTTTTGAATTTTCCCTTATGGAGCAGCTTAATGGGATAGCTCAGAAATAAGGCTTAAATTGAACGTGAAAATGCCTTTCTGAGCATATTGTTCAGATCCATTATCTCCCTGTGCACAGAGTTTATATTTAGCATCAAAAAGGACATTGGGTGGCTAGGGTCATGAACCTCAGAGGTACTGTATGTGGTGCTGCCACAGGGTGGTGGTTGCTGCACGTAGCCAAGCACAGCTGGTAGTTAGTGTGACCCTCCCTCTCTTGGTGGTCTCCTTGGATCTCATGGAAGGACTTGGAAATACTTTTAGGTTGTTAGAATACATTTTTCAGTCATTCTGAGCTGGATTAAGTATTCGCCAGTGCCTTCCTGGCACTAATGACCATAATGGACCATTGGAGAGGCACTGTAGCACCAGTACAAAAATACTGTCCTGTCTGAATGTGCATTATCCTGTAATATGGATACCATTCTTACCTCGGGGAGCAGCAAAATTATCTCGGAAATATGTATATTTTTTCATATTCACTCAAAGCCTTATTATTTACATACCTTTTTTTCCCCCCCTTTTCTTGAGATTTCTGTTCCACATCGGTTTGATTTGATGAAGTTAAAATACTATACAGTACTTGAGTTTTAGCAAAAATAAATGGTTGCTACAGAAATTAAGCAGTATAGTTCCATCATAACTTTTAGTTTAATTTTTGTAATATTATAACTGCAGACAACCTTTCACTGTACTGACTTGATACCTAAGATACTTATGTATGATTATAAAACTGAGCTTAGTCTCATTATGCCCAAAATTACTGTTTTCAGGAAGTTACTGTTTAAGAGAACATACTGTATTAGTGGCTTTATGTATTTTACGCACCTTGCCTTCCAGTTTACCACTACTACTCATATATCATGTGTTCTCTTGCATAAATAAAATAATATCATTGTTTATTATTATTGGGAAATGCTGTTCATTGGCAACTATTTTGTCTTTTGTTTTTGGTCCTTGACAGTGTAATTTATTTAAATTATAAGAGGCAAGTCTCAAGATAAATCAGCAATATGGCTATCAACATCACCCCTGCCCTCACACTTATCACCACCTCTCCTCTCATCCCTTTATGCCTCTTATCCCTTTATGCAGCATTATTTTGTCCTGACAGCCACATACCCACGTATCCCTATTACCTTTTTTGGTTTTAATGTGAATCACTAATACAGTATTGCCAATTGGTATTAGAGTTGGAAGTATTTTTCCCCATAAGGAAACATTGGCCAAAAATTAGGTTGATACAGTAAGATTTTGTACTGACAATTACATTTTTGCCTTAAATTGACAGAAGGGATGATGCCGTACTTGGAAGTTGCAACTAATATTCCTAAAGAAAGAATAACTCCCGAAAAGTTGATTAACCTTAGCAAGCATTTCAGTGATACAATTGGAAAGCCTGAACAGGTAGGTGTTTGTAATTTTGTTATAGTGACACATTAGATACATGTATTTCACCTTATTCAATGTGATTTAATGGATTGTAATTAGCAGAGGCATGTAAAATAATAAAATAATTGCAACACTTATCCCAATGATTATGGAATTTATCATCCATGGTTTGCTGGTCCTCTATTTTAGTTAAAACCTTTGTCTTGGTTTTTGTTAATTTTATTTTGTAGTAATGAGGTTTACAGGCAGCAGCTGCTTCAGATTCATTTGCCCATGTTTGCATTGTGCCTGTGGCACCTGACAGCTGGGTGGACAGCGCTTCAGATTCGTAGTCCTGATGTTCCGGGTTCGATCCCTGGTGGAGGTGGAGACAAATGGGCAAAATGTTTCTTTCACCCTGATGCCCCTGTTATCTAGTAGTAAATAGGTACCTGGGAGTTGGACAGCTGCTATGGGCTGCTTCCTGGGGGGTGTGTAACAAAATGGAGGCCTGGTCGAGGACCGGGCCGCGAGGACGCTAAGCCCCGAAATTATCTTAAGATAACCTCAAGATTGGGTGTTGTCCTGGAGTTGGTCTGCCTTGATCTTTGGGATTTTGGAGTTGGAGTGGATAATGTTCCTTCTGGTGCTCTGTTCACTGATGCTCCTCTCTTTATCTGACGTAGTTGTACAGCCCCTTGTACACCCTCCCCTCGTTGCTCTAAATTCTGGGACGTCTGAGGGTTTCAGAGTATGGGCTGCATTTAGCTGTGGGTGTAGATTGGCCTTCTCTGGGGAATCGCCCAATCCACATCAACTCAGTCGAGACAGTTGAGCCATTGCTTCCCACTGGGGATCCGAGCCATCTTTTTTTCTGGGGGTATGTATTTGGCAAAGGATTATTTTAAGAGTTTGGAGATGCCATCATATCTGTTCAAGTGCAAAATTTGACTTCCTAAGGGTTTTTCTTTTGGATTTCTAGGGCTGGGGAGGAGCCCAAGATGGATCCCTGAATGCCCTTTAACTTTTCCTGGTCTCTGGTTCCCCCTCCCCCTTAAATGTTTTGTTTTATTTTTTAAGTACCATTCCCTATCCCCCTTTGTTTGAGCTTGTTTTCTCGGCTGCTTCTCCTCATGAACAAGTCAGTGTACCATTACTATCCTCAGATGCACCACGTTTCAGGAAGATTTACTGTCCCTCACCTTCTGCCTCTTTCAGCTTGGTTGGTCTCTTTCGGTTCCTCTTGCTGGTGCAGGATTTTGTTTTCCTCACAGACTTGGCCTCCTTTGAGTTTGGGTCAGCTTTGTCATTATGATTGTGGGGTTCCTCGTTTCTCCTGGCTTGTGGCCAACTTTCAGTTTTCTTTGAGGGTTTAACAAGGCTCCTGCTGTATCTGGATGCTTGTGAAATGTGTGGGTGGCTGTCTTAGTGTTCTGAAGCCTGGGTTATGGGCTAATGGGGTCCATGCTAACTCAATGGCCACTTTGCACATCTGGGCTGTGGTTGACCTGTTCTCTGATTAACTCTGGGGTGGCTTGGATGATTTTGGTGCCGGGTGTTGTTGCCCTGTTACCTACAGACAATATGTAAGACACCTTGAACACTGATTATGTAAGACAGATGTAAGTCTGTGTATTTATGCATGTAGGTTAGATTAGCATTTTAAAAGCACTACAATCACCTTCTGTGATTGATTGTTCAACAAATTTCTGAACTATATACACAGAAATCACAATAGCATGAAGCATCGAATGAATCCACAAGGACCGTGATGAGGTCAGGGCCCTTGTGAATTTATTCATTTGATGCATCACACTATTGTGATTTCTGTGTGTATTAAAGTAAGGCCAAAGAGGTAGAACAGCTTGTTGGCAGAGCCCGAGTGTATGGGGGAATTGTGTAAAACCCTGATTTGTGTCTCGGAGAGGCTGCAGGATCCGTGTGAAGTCAGTGGAACTCCCAGTTGACCTGTGGTTGACCTTTTACCATATCGTGGCCTAGTCGACTAAGGCAGTGTCTGGGATCATCCCAGGAGTAAGTTCAAACCCTCATCATGGCCCTTGTGGATTTGTTCTGAACTATGTTTTTAAAATATTCCTAACCCTGTTCATGGAGGACAGAAGAAAATGTAATATATGCTGATTTGCATTGTAAATGTGTGACCATGTCTGTGGTAAAAAAAAAAATCCAGCTTCAACAGCTTGCCGAATCAGCGATGGATTTTTCCTTGATTATCTCTTTGTTTTGGCAGGCTGTGCTTGTTCAGACTTTTGATTTGGCTTGGTCCCTGCCCATTTCTGGGTTGGGGCCTTGCCTTGTCAGGGTAGACCACTGGTTGTGCCTGATTCTCAGGCCTTGGCCTTTTCTTATTCTGGTTGGCATTGTTCTTGGGTATTGGTATTCCTCACCAGAGTTTTCACTCTAGTAGTGAAAACTACCAGAAAACTAGTGGGCAGTAGTTGGTCACTGATAGCAGTTACTGGGTGCATGCTATGTTGAGGTCAGAGTACCAGGTTGAACAGTGCATGATTTGGATAATATTTTTCTAAGTACAGTACAGTACTTGAATGGTGGTTGCTTATTGCGTTTTAAGCATGATCACTAAATTTTAGCAAACACAATTTTAATTTGAATCTGTTATATGGTAGATATCAGCCTTAAGAACCTGACTGTGGAGATATTTCATTGCAGGAGATAAGGCCTGCAATAGTGGGTTTTTACAGTTCTTGATGAATACAGTATAGAGTTCCAAGAATCAGGGCCTAGTGCAGAGTTCATATGCATACTGTCTATGGCTTCTTCAAAATTCATTGGGGGATAAGGTGACTGGTTCTAGTATTGGGTGGATGACTATTCATCCACACAGTATTGGGTGGAAGACTATTCATCCACACAGTATTGGGTGGAAGACTATTCATCCACACAGTATTGGGTGGAAGACTATTCATCCACACAGTATTGGGTGGAAGACTATTCATCCACACAGTATTGGGTGGAAGACTATTCATCCACACAGTATTGGGTGGAAGACTATTCATCCACACAGTATTGGGTGGATGACTATTCATCTACACAGTATTGGGTGGAAGACTATTCATCCACACAGTATTGGGTGGAAGACTATTCATCCACACAGTATTGGGTGGATGACTATTCATCTACACAGTATTGGGTGGAAGACTATTCATCCACACAGTATTGGGGGGAAGACTATTCATCCACACAGTATTGGGTGGAAGACTATTCATCCACACAGTATTGGGTGGAAGACTATTCATCCACACAGTATTGGGTGGAAGACTATTCATCCACACAGTATTGGGGGGAAGACTATTCATCCACACAGTATTGGGGGGAAGACTATTCATCCACACAGTATTGGGGGGAAGACTATTCATCCACACAGTATTGGGTGGAAGACTATTCATCCACACAGTATTGGGGGGAAGACTATTCATCCACACAGTATTGGGTGGAAGACTATTCATCCACACAGTATTGGGTGGATGAGTGGAAAAACTCGACTCAAAATGAAAACGGTTTTTAGAATTTAGTTTTAAATATGCTTAACCCTTATCCCATGGCATAAACTATTTTTCCTAATGTTGTGCCCATCTAAGAGTGTTTTCTTTTGATAATTGCATACTAGCACTAGACTGTATTTTAAATTCAAGACTTTCTGATTTTAACAATTGAGTTATTCAATCTTGCAAGTAATTCTTTAGAAATAACTGTGTTATGTAGTTCATATATTTGAATATATTAGGTTACAGTATTAGCCTTAATAAAAACTGTGCTTTAACTTTACAGTATTGTATGGTAAGAGTGATCCCAGAACAGCTGATGACAGTCGGAGGTAGCTTTGATCCATGTGCAGTTGCTTCTGTAATGAGTCTCGGCAAGTTTGTTATGAAGGAGAAAATGGCTTATACTTCGAAGATATACGAATTTACGGAGGAAATACTTGGCATTCCAAGTGACAGGTGAACATCCTTACTTACTCTAAATTAAGAACAATTTTTAGATTTCAAAGTAGTGATTGAATTAGGTTGTACATTGAAGAATATGCCCCAAAAGCATATTAAATTTTAAATGTACATGAGTATATTTTGTAACTACAGTATAAAGTAAAATATTTTATGCAGGAAAATAAAACATTCTGATATTTCATTTATTGATTGCAGCTGGTTTGCTGAAGTAGATCTCTAGCTTTTAGTAGGAAGTCTGATTAATTGTATTAATATATAATGCAATACAATAGTTATATTCCATGAAAAAACACTATTTAAAGTTAAACATTTATTTATTAGACAGTATATTTTGTGTAAAAAGCTTTACCAAGCTAAAGTTTTATAGTTTTCATCATATTCAAAATTTAGTTCAGCTTTCCCCTCCCTCCCCTCCAGCTTTTGCTGGGATTCCTGCTCTTTTGATCCAGAATGATGTTCCCTTTCATCCTCTCAGCCCAGTTGAACTTTCATACCTCTGCCACCTGTATCTTTATAAGTAAATGATACAATGTTTGTTCCATTTATCTCCCCGTAACGTATGTATAATGTATTTTAACGTATGGCGAATGTCTGTCTCTTATATGGTTTTCAGAACACTGCCACTACTCTCTCCTTCTCAATTTGGCTTTTGCAAGTGTCACAGCATGACACGTTTAAGTGGACTTCAGTCATTTTGCCTTTGCTACAAGCCTTTGTGTTTTGATTTGAAATGGCATGTGACACCAATTGTAGGTGCAATATTTTGTCCCGGCTTCATTTGTCTGGCCTTTGTAGTGATCTCCCACTCTTTCTTTCTAGCTTCCTCGTTTGTTGTTCCTTTAAGGTGAAACTCTGTGCCACCTTTCCCCCAATTTGAAGGTTTTCCCAGGATAGTTCCGAGCATTACTCTTTCTCATTGTGCTTAATGGTCTTACTTCCTCTGTTGATATGTGACTGTTGGTGGAATGACTACCCTTTCCTTCAATGCTAGCTGCAATTTGCAACTGATGTCGAGTCACTCTGGGCCACCATTCATGGCTTCAAGTTCTCTACATCTAAGACTTGTTCTCTTACTTTTACTTGGAAATAGGTTGTTCTTTGTCCCCCACTGTCACTGTATGGTAGTCCCCTTTTCTATACTGTATTCTGCTAAACTTTTGAAGTTTATCTTTGACACTTGTTTGCCTTGTCACCCGATTTCTCTTACCGGCGAGTCAAATACTCTAAGGCCCTTGCATTATTTTGAGTCTTACCCCGTACTTCCTGGGGTGCTGATAGACGCACACTTCTCTATTTGCACTCCTCTTGTGCTGTTTAAACTGGATTATGTCTGCCCTGCCTCTCCTTCAACCCTTTGTAGTCTTGATGCTCTGCACCATGCTGGGTTGCACCTCAGCTCTGGTGCCTTTTGTTCATTTCCCTATCCAGACCTTGTATATTGAAATTAACATCTTGCTGCAACAGGATTGTTGGGATTGTTACTGCCTTCACACGGTCCTCGTTCTCACTTTTTCAGGTGCTTTGCCTGTTGCCCCTCTGGTAGGCCCTGTTTCTTTTCGCCACTTTCCTTTGTCTGTAAGGATGTCTCATTTACAAACTTCCCTTAAGGTTTGTGTTTGCAATGTCTCTTCGTGTTATTCTATCCTTGCCCTCATGGAGAGTCCCATTTTGCTAGACTTGGACCAACATGGTAAAAGCTTTTACCCCTCCTATTATGAAGTGCCTTTTCCTTCACACTCGACTACTATTATCATTGTCACAGATTGGTCCAAGTCTGCTGATAAGTGTTGGATATTCTGCAGTCTTTCAGGATGAACCTTATGTGCTACCTGCCACCAGAGGCTAGCATAAACTAGTTGAACTGTATGCAATTTTGTATGCCCTTTGTCAACTGCTTTTCTGTTAACACTCCTTTATTATTGTGGTTGACTCTTGCATTTCTATCATGGCTCTAGTCATTTAATCCTGTGCACCCTGTGGTGGTTGAAATCCAATATTGGTTGTTTCTTATCTCCCAGCAGATTTAAGCAAGTTGAGTTTTGCTTGGGTTCCCAGCAATGTAGGTATTCCCTTAAATGGGCATTGAAACACTGCAGCTAAGGAGGTAATCTAAGATTCAGAAAAAGGTGTTCCTTTTTCCCGATTTCTACCCATCCATTCATCAATCCAAGACTGTTGGTCTTGTGTTACAGGTAACAAACTGTGTGCTCTTAAGGGTAGCCTATCCTCTTGGCCTTCCTCCTCCAACTGGGAAACATTTCTGAGGAAGTTATGTATTGGTCATACATGTTTAATGCACAGGCACTTGATGGACTGCTGTCCTGCTTCGTATTGTTTCTCTTAGTCATGTATCTCCTTGTTGAATGTCCCAATTTTCAGGACGTGTGTGTCTTGCTTCCCAATGGTCCCTCGTGGTCATATATCCCTCAATAGAATCCTTGGTGAATCTGATACCTGTGATATTACTCGCTTTATGCACTTTTGTTGTATTGACGTCCTCAGTGATATTTGGCACCTTTTAAATGTTGTGCATCAGGTCCAACATAAGTCTCCCTGTCTTGGTGCCTTCTTTTGATGATAACTTTGGAACAAAATTTTAAGTATAAACAGTCACTTGGCTGGTTTCAGTTTTCACCTGCCCAACAAATTGACTACAAGGCTAGTTATTTAGGGTATAAGGGAACTCTAATTATGATCCTAGTTTGGGGGTGATCAGGTGTAGCAGCTGAATGAGACAACTGGCAGTTTGTGTGAACTTGGGCTATCGGAGTTGTCAGTATTGTTTGGCAGGACAGTTTTTTGGGAATTTATGTTTTGGAAGATATTCTAGGCTGAATTGAGGATTGTCCAGTGTGTCTTTAGCATCAGCATGTTGACCTGTCCTAGCATCAGGATATTATTTATCTTGGGGAATAGCAGGGTGACATAGCTTAGAAAGATGACATAGTTTGATTCTAGTGCTTTGTCTTGGGCCTAAATTAAAATTGTATCTTATACACAACCCTCCCCATATTTCCCATAGTAAGGATCTTGAGACACTATAAATTGTAATATATCCTTTGTCTTTTTCAGAATGTACATCCAGTTCACCGACAAACCAACATCAATGTTCGAAATAGAAGGTACCAATTATCATGAAATATTTGGGCAGTAGTTTGGTATTACAAAATTTGTTTATAACTTTAATTAACGTCTTTTGCTCTTTAGTTCCCCTTGAAAATACAATAAATATAACGACTTTTGTATGTGCTATTTTTAACCTGAAGCTAAAGGGGTCTCGTAGCCTGGTGGATAGCGCGCAGGACTCGTAATTCTGTGGCGCGGGTTCGATTCCCGCACGAGGCAGAAACAAATGGGCAAAGTTTCTTTCACCCTGAATGCCCCTGTTACCTAGCAGTAAATAGGTACCTGGGTGTTAGTCAGCTGTCACGGGCTGCTTCCTGGGGGTGGAGGCCTGGTCGAGGACCGGGCTGCGGGGACACTAAAGCCCCGAAATCATCTCAAGATAACCTCTCAAGAAGAAGAATCTAGTTCTATGAAGAATTGCAGAGGAAATGTATTGATTATTTTTCTGTTGAGGAAGGTGCTCACAGTTCTTACTGTCATCATATTTTAACAGACATACAGTAAATATTTATCAAAAGAAGGCACCAAGCCAGGGAGACTGTAACACCATCACTGTCGGTGGATATTCAAAAGGCACTAAATATCACTGAAAATGTCAATATGTGAAAAGCATACAAGGTGAGTACAGTACTATCAAGGTTCAAGATTCATCAAGGATTCTATTGCAGGACAAATGACCTCGAAGGACATTAGGAAAGCACTACAGTATTATCCTAATACTTGTGACATTCCACATGGAGGTGCACAACTGTAAGTGGTACAATTCAGTTTGGACAATGAGGGCAACATTCCAGTAAATGGCCACGAGTTAAAACATACATGGCCAATACATAACCCAGCCAAAGCCATTTCCCACCATCTATTAGAGAGGTAGTAGGAATGCCATGGGGATAAGTTACCTTTTAAGAGTGTGCAATTTGTTACCTGTAACCTCCGATCAATGACCCTGCCAACAGTCTTGGATTGAGGAATGAATTACTGGTTAGAAATCTGAATAAGGAATGCCATTTTTGGAAATATGACAAGTGCAGATAGCTTTCTTAGGGGCAGTGTCCACACATTCATATACGGTAACACCAATATTGCTGGGAAACCAGCAAAACACAATTATCTGCAATCTGTTAGAGATAAGAAACAAACCAATGTTGAATTTTGACTATCACAGGTTGCATAGGGTTAAATGACTACAGAGGCTATGAAGGCACTGTGAGAGTCCACCACAATAACAAAGGAACACCGATGTTGGGAAAGCAGTTGACGAAGTGCATGTAAGATTACATGAAGTACCATTGTGAAGATGCTAGTTTTGGGGGGGTAGGTGGCACATACAGGTTTAGTTGGTAAAAACAAAGGAGTAGCTTACAGCGTCCACAGACTTGGACCCATCTGTGAAGAGGGCAATAGAGCTTGAATGCAAAGAAAAGTATTCAGGAATAGGCATTTCATAACCATAGCAGGGATAGAAGTCTTTTTTCATGTGGGTCAAGGTCTTGAAAAACTTTGCAAGTGGGACTCTCCACAAGGCCAAGGTTGGAATGACATGAGGAGAGACATGCAAACACAAACTGATCGGGAGTCTTGCAGGTGAAACAGCCTCTTAAAAAAAGGAGGGCAGTGAAAGATAACAGGGCCCACATGAGAAGTAACAGTCAGAGCACAGCATAAGCAGGAGTGAGAATGTTGCAGGGACTGTACAAGGTTTAGGAGGCCTGGTCGACGACCGGGCCGTGGGGATACTAAGCCCCAGAAGCACCTCAAGGTAGGTAGTGAAAGTAGCAACAATCACGATGACCCTGTAGAGACAGGACATTGGTTTCAATATACAAGCTCAGAGTAGGGGATGAACAAAAGGCACCAGAGCCGAGGCATAACCCAGTATGGTGCAGGTCTTAAAGACGTCAAAGAGTTGAACGAAAGACGGAGGTGTAGGCAGGACATCCATAATTGAATTTAGATAGCGCATGAAGTGTAAATAGAGATGTGTGCATCTATCAGTACCCCAGGATGTACAGGATTAGACTCAAAGTAATGTAAGTGCTTCAGAGCATTTAACTAAGAGGCAAGAGATAAGGGTTACAAAGACAAAATGGAAGTCAAAGATCAACCTCAAAAGTTTAGCAGAATCTTTATACAGAAGATGACTACCATACAGCAACAATGGGGGATGAACAACCTGCTTCTGAATAAAAGTCATAGCAAAAGTCTTGGCTCAAGGAAGTGGCAGATCCAATATGTCGGAAAGAGTAGCATGGAGAGCAAATAGATTCCAGTCAGCCTTATCAAACCATCATCGAGAGAAAGAAAGAGGGTGGAAAGAAAAAGATAACGAGGATTGGGAAATAGTCACTTATGAGGGTCAAGAACCCTCCGCTCTTCGCTCAAGAATAGAGGATGAAAGGTTTGAGAAGGCAGCCTCGGGTATTTGTTAGATTTTGTTGGCATGCCAACAGTTAAAAATCACCCAAAAGGAGCACAAGCTACAGTATTGAGTCCAACAGGAGTTTAAGATAAGAGAAAGTGGAATATGTTAAAGGGATAACTTAACTTTGTACCATTTACTTACAAAGATAAAGGGGGGTAGAGGAATGAATGGTTGGCTGAAAAAGCAGGGGGACAAAGGGAATATCATTCCAGACCAAGAGAGCAGTAGAGTTAAGAGGTCCCAGTAAAAGCTGAGGGAAAGAAAGGAATAACTGTGGAAGCGACCATGATGAGTACCAAGCATCGGCTCATGAAGATGGCTCATGTTACCACAACACTGTGATAACAGTGAAATCAGAAGTTGGAGTTCATAGAAAATGGCATTATGAGCACCATTGAGGAGCTGAATGGTATCCCAGGGACCTATTGGGATATGAACCCCACAATGCCCCATTGATCCAATGTTTAACTAATCAGTACTAACGAGATAAGTTGATTGATTCAGGTAGACCGCATTAAATGTCTCGTTTTATCCCTTACCACTACCAAAGAAGTGTCCCCCCCCCCCCCCCCGACTTTCTTGAGGATGCAGCTGCATGATAGGCTCAACTCCTAGATGAAGGACAAAGGTGTGCACCAGTCTTCATGCATGGCTAACACATGGAGATGCATTTAGCTTGTCAACTACCACAGCAGGCAGAAAAGGAGAGCAGGAGGTGCACAAGAACCCTTCTCACTGTACCAACGCACCATCCACTGAGGGGGAAGAATCAGAGTAAGAAATTATTAAAAAAAACAAAAAAAAAATTATCTGGAAGACTATTTAGCACCATCTGTTGTCGAGAATGGTATCAAATTTCAAGATATCAAAAGTAATCTTTGCAATACAGTGGGGTGAGGCTAGTATTCTTACCGCATGAACATACTTATCTGGACTAAGTAGTGCCTTTGGATTCTCCTTGATGGAGAATCCATCAATCCTTTGGATTCAATCAATTTGGCAAGGACAAAATGCAATTAAAATAAAAAAGCCAGAATTCTTGTTTATGCAGAAGGCAATGGATTTCCAAACAGAAAAATACATTACTGAGCAGTGTTTATATTGTGACCACAGCTCACAATATAACAAAGATTTCTACGGATTTCCTTACAAAGAGGAAATCGGTAGAAAAAAGTTGGAACCTGGAATATCAAACTGCTTCACCGAGGATCAATGACAATAGATGTATCTTGCACATTTATTTAAATAAATTTCCATCATGATGCATTAATTTTGGCTATGTCTTTCTTGGATAACACCTGTACGCCATCTCTGAAGGTGCCGATTTGTGAAGAAAGCCCCTTAACTTTCTTGCCGTCCTTTAACTTGTTTTTCATAGGCTTAGTCACCTGCAAAACATCATGAAATTTAAAAAAGTAGTATTATTTACAAAATAATTATCTAATGCTTCTAGAGGTTATTTCCTCTATATTGCCATTTTGTTTTTTCTTCTTTCCTATCAAGCCACAGATTTACTCATTTTAATCATCGAATTTTACTCACTTCATTTAAAATTCACTCTTCCGTGGTAATTCTTTCAAATGTTATACTGTAATTATAAATAATTTAATTTTTTTGTATTGCATGCCTTTAACAAACATGATCATTTGGATTTTTCATGGCACCAATTTTCATTTAAATCGCTTAATTCTATATAAATAAAATCCAACTCACTTTGTTTCACATTAGTAATCTATGTGGTAACTCATTTACTAAGTGGAAATCTCATTATTCATCTAACAATGCAGCAGTAATTAATATGATCACATGGTATTTGGCAGCTTATATTGAGGGACCGTTCATGTAACATAATTTGGATTACAGTACAGTATTTCAATTTGGATTTACACCTATACAAAATTCATACAACACTGCTATTTACTACTGTACTTTCTTCACGGGAGACATCTCCCGTCACGCAGGGTGCAGTCGCACCTCCACAGATCTCCAGTATCATCTATTGATACTGGAAATGGCTCAAAAGGGCCACCACTTATGGGCTATTCATGCCCAAGCCACCTTTTGGGTGGCTTAATCTTCTCTCTCTCTCTCTCTCTGTACTTTCTTGCATGTTAATGATTGACAACTTGACATTGAAAACACTTAAGGAAATCTTGTATTTAATGCATCTACAATTAATGAGAAGTTTTTTAAAAATGCCCAGACTCAGTCAATCTCACACAGGCTGTGTACAAGCATTATCTTTCTTCCCTTCCCCCCCCCCCCCCCTCATCATGGCTGGGAATCAAAGATCAACCTAAAGCCGAGGTAAATTACCAAGAAAGTAAAACACTTCAAAAGCTCAACTCTCCTGCAAAAATATGCTTGAAAATCTCTAATTAGCAAACAGTTCTCTGAACCCCTTGGTCTTCACTAAATCAACTCTCACAAACCACCCCGTCCTCGCGAATAGTACATCGCATTTTGACATAAATCCCCTAAAGCCAATAACTGATGTACTAAAAATCATTGTGCAAAATTGATGTGATGTCCCATTTTCTATTCATGGTCCTCGGTTGGGATAGATTTGGGTAATTTTGTACATCAGTTTAGTGATGTTGTGAATGCTCGAAAGGACAGGCTAAACAAACACTACCAGGTGGCACCTCCTAGCTACCGGAGTGTGCCAACCATCTCATACACTTGCATTGGCAAATGGACGAAGTGGTGTCAATACTTTAGGCATTTCTGGGCAAACTGTCTTTTGAGGCACTAGGTGCTTGCTTGTTTGCCTTGGCCTTGCCCTAGGGCTGTGGGGGTGCAAATTTGTATTTGCTATTTTGCTCCTCTAATCATCAAGGATCACAGAGCATGTCTCGGGCTCTCTTCTGTGCTCCGAGTCTGGTATATCATGGACCTGTTTCAGCCTTTTAGCTGTATTTGGTGTATAAGGGGTTCAGTCTGCTGCGAGTGGGTGATCTTCCAGGTCTGAATAGGTGTCCAGAGGGGCCAGTTTCTGGGGTTGTAACACTGCCTTTGGCTTCTGCTTCCTTTTTTTTTTGGCACTATTCTCATCAGTCACTGAAGGTAACTGTTTGTTGTACTACTTCGAGATGGCCCTTCTGCAGTACTCCCTTTTTATTGGGCAGTGCAGGGATGGTTGACCTCTTTCTCCCATGCCTGTACTGGGACCTTCAGTGAAGGGAAAGGTGGCCTTCAAACACTTGACCTTCCTTGTGACTTCATCTTCTTGGCTTTAGGTTGATCTAGTATCCTCAGATTCCCTTTGCCTCTAGCGCATGAACCAGATTCAGTTTCTGGTGTCTGGTAGGTTCCTATGGACCCGGTCCATAGGCACCTACCTATGAACCAGCATGATAGGCCTGGAGCTATTCAGGCAGCTAGCGTAAGGAGTCACCAAGGGAACGTGCCAGAAACTGGCATTTTATTACATTCAATGCTGAAATTGTTCTCACTGTGTCTGGTTTCTCTCCAGCTCTGGGACTTCTCATTTTTCCCATGTTTTAGCAGTCATTCCTTGCCAGTTATCCCTCTTATGTGGTTAGGAGTGTGGTCCTCGCCCAGTTCCTGTGTCTGTTGTTTATGTTTCCTCTTCCTGGGTACATCCTTCAGTTCTTCATGAAACACACTAAAAGTTTCCTTCATGTCATGCTTTCATAGCAAGCTGAGGAGAGAGAATTTCTGGGTTGGCGCCCTTTAATAATGGATCGAGTGTAATGAAATGTGTACTCCTGGGTTACACCTCTGTAGCTCCTCATTTTCTCATTGAAGTCCAGCTTTCTGGTGTGGGGATGCAGCTCGACTGTGGGAGGCCTGGCTTACCTCAACCCTCAAGGCACCATCTGGTGGTATTCAGTTCAATGGGGTGAGCTAGTTCAGAGTGGTGTTTGGCAATTGTATATTTCCAAACATATTCCTGTAAGAGAGTTGAATTTTTAAAGTACACTACTGTATTTCCTTTCTCAGTGGTTGACTTCAGTAGATGATTAATTTGTTTTATTCAAGTGAGCTTTCTAGGCACAACGAGGGGGCAAGGAAAAATGATGCATGTCTTTGGAGAACTGAGTATGCCACGGGAAGCCTGGCATTTTCAATGTTGCCCTATACATTCCCAGGTAGCATGCCACATTTAAATTTTTTTTTAATAAGCTTTAAAAACATCTATGTAGCAGTGTGGTGTGAATATGGTATTTGTGCTTGAGTCATTCCTAACTCTTGCTGTATTTTCTTTCCATTTTCTCAGAGAAATGTTTGGGGGAGGGGGGTGGAGGAAGATTAATAATAAATGCTGTACATCATTCAAATAAAAATCTGAGAATAGCATATGCTCTAATGATCATAGTAAGTTACTATTAATAGCCATCACTTGTACACTACTGTGTATCTGTTCATACCTTATGTCCCATCTTCTGCTTCATGCTCAATTCCTCTGACATCTTTTGTTTTTCTTGTTTCTTCATAATAAGTAGGTCCTTATAACTCACAGCCTTGAAAAGAAAAAAACAGTATCACTGCATAAGGAGTAACTATATATGGTTTGAATAGCCTGAAGACAACCGATCAGAGTATCCCGGCCTCGCATGCTGTCATATGCATGTACCGTACTTGTATCGAGAAACAATTTTACAAAATCAATAATAAGAAAATATGTTTTGACTGCAGCCCTTTGAGGGGGGGGGGGGAGCTCCCCCATCACTACGCCAGCCATATTTCACAAGACAAACAATATTATAAATACTGTACCTGTATTCTTACAAATAAAAGTCCTTCTTTGAACCATACATATATATACTGAATAGGAATACAAACATACAGAGGGTGAAAGGGAACAAGTATTGGTGGTATTGACAGAGGTGGGCAAGTGTAGTAGGAAGGTTGTGGGCAGGTCGGTAGGTGCTTATCTGTGTCCACAGGGAGCAAAATCTACATCCTGGGCCCTGCCTCCCAGCTATTGTACCTGGTGTAATTACACTTTCAAATGTTCTGATGCTCTATCATACTCACTCTTGGAATTATGAATCAAAGTAGCTTCCATGACTTTTGCTTCAAGCACATTTCATTTATTTACCACTCGTACTGAATACAAATACAGTGGCACTTCTACAACATGAATCTACACCTACAATCCTCATCTGTTCAGCATCTGTGAATAATCCAGATTTTGGAATACTTTGCCCTTTTAAGGCTATTTATATTGTTATAATCACTATTGATTGACTAAGATTTTGTTTGCCATGACCTATAACAGTAGTGTTTCTCAATGGTCAACCTCCAATACTGTACTGCAACTATCTAGTCTACGAGTGTCAGTGTGTGTGGTTGTGGGTGTAGTTGTGAATGTCAGGAGTGGGAGGGGGGGTGGGGTTAGGTGATATCCACACTTTAACCCTCAAGGTGGCATTGTCGTAAGTTGATACCCTGGTTGATGCGGTTATCATTATGTTATTTTTAGTTATTATTGCAGTGTTTATCAACCCATGCTCCTGAAATGATAATACTGAACAGTACTTATATTAACGATTTGGTCAAAAGTACCAATATGTAGTGATAGACCACCAACTTTTGTACTTTTAATTTTAGAGTGTCCTGACAAAATAAAGCTTAAAACCAAACTTAAACATTCCTAGACCTAGTGTAAAACATATATGTAGTATATCAGACCTAAGATAGCATATACTAGGCCTAGAATTGCTAGGAGAGGTTGTTATATAATATATAGTTAAAAAAAAAAAAAATTACACGCATGTGACAGACAGATGAGGGCGGTATTCAGAGAATGTATCTGACAGTAGGAGTGTTACTAGCAGAGTACCACAGGGTTCAGTTCGTGCACCAGCAATGTTCGTCATCTACATAAACGATCTACCAGAAGGAATACAGAATTATACGAATGTTTGTGATTGATGCTAGCTAAAATACTGGGGAAGACAGGAGATGCAGACTATCGTCATGCCCTTCAAATTGATCTAGATAAAGTAAGTGCTTGGAGCGTCAAGTGGCAAATGGAATTCAATGTGAATAAATGCCATGTTATGGAATGTGGACTCATAGAAAATAGACCACACACAACCCCATAATTATGTGGAAAGGAAGTAAATAATTCTAATAAAGAATGAGATGTAGGGGCGATTTGGGATAGTAAACCGTTACCAGAGGAACACAAAGAACATTGTGTAGTACGTTTACCATTTTGTCAATATTGTGTAAATAAATTGAATTATTACACACACAATGTGTAAACTAAAGTGAAACAGCAAATGTATAAACCATATAAAGTTTTTTTGTGAGTCGGCAAAATTGTGCCATCATAAGTCCACAGACACAATAACTCACTCCTTCAGAGCTTGCTCTGTGTGTGTGTTCGAAACAAAAAAGGACGTTCGTGTTTTTTGTATTTTCCCTTACTTTTTGCATGTAAATTTATCACTGTATAAAAACAATTTTTTTGTTAGCTATTTTTAGAGGGATAAAGGATAAAGATATATTTCACACCTTTTTTTTCACACTCTCTGGGGTGAAGTTTATGAGCAAAATATAATGATCAACCTGACTCACAATGGTCATCTACCAACATAACCCCAACTGTAAAAAGATATATTTTTTTTTATTACCAAAGTGGTGGATTATTTATAACTTTCTTTCTATGATAAAGGTTCACCTCTTCTTTAGTACTGGTGCATATCCAACACTTTTTTCCTCTAATCACCTATCATTAACAGCAATTTCCTTGACAAACATCTGAAACAGTCCACAGACGGGTCCAAAGAGCCAAAGCTCAACCCCCGCAAGCATAACTAGACGAGTACTGTACAGAATGAACATTGGGCTAAACTGGGCAAGACAATACTGTCTAGGGTAGTGTGGGCCAGTCACACAACACTTGACTATTCTGGACGTTATTATAGCACCCAACAGCCACATGGCCATGCAGGCATAAAAGTAGCATACTGTAGTTCCTATTACTGGGGGATGATGATGATGCTGCTGGTTTGAACAGCAAATCTATAAAGATAGTGGGGGCCATTGAGGTTGTTCCATGTAAACACCGACTCTCATAGTGGTGGATAAGGAAATGAGGAGCAGCCTATGTTTATGCTGTAACGATGCTTTGTTCAGTACTCTTTCTTCAGACTCGGCAGTTGTCCTTGAGATATAACTAAAGAGCAAGCCAAGATTAATTCAACCTTACCTTATTTTTGGGTGGTTTAGCTCCAAGTTTTATGGCAAGTTCAATTCTTGTGTCTTGTTTCTTTTCTTTGTGAAAACCACTCATGCCCAGCTTGAAGACATCATACCTAGCTCTTTTTAGCTCCTTCTCGTCCATAACAGCCTAAATAATAAATGTATTATTATTATTATTATTATTATTAATATAAGCAAGAATAAGAGTAAGAATAAGAATAAACAAGACTCATCTTGTCTAAAAGCCAAAGCAATTTTGTATACAGTATTTTCAAATAATTTTTTTGAATGAGATCACCTCTAATAATATCACCATATTATATTGCCAACATGAATTTTTAAATTAGTTAAAACCTAGTTTTACCTACATTAATCAGTACTGAGAAATAATCAGCATATTTTGGTTACTGTATATCAGTTTTCTAAATTAGTCTTGACTAAATTTAACATTTCCTGCAATGAATATAACGAAATGCTTCTTTCTCGTTGGACCCTAAGCCGGTCCCCATTTTTGCAGCTATGGAAACGTCTAAGTCTTATGAACTACACTAGACCACTAGCCATTCCCATTCAACTACCAAAAGGCTAGCACCAGAATATGGCCCCTTCAAAGAAGCTAATGGAAACCTTGGTATTTGGGATTACTACAGTACCAATAAAACAAACCCCAGAAAGCATTCCATAAAAAGCAACTGTATAGAAACAAGTGTAACCCTAATGCTATGTAAACACTCAGTACCAGAACACATTAACTGCTTAGTTTCACCAGCTTGCCACTAGATGGCAGCCCCCAAAGAAAAAAAACCTTTAACCTAGGGAAGGAAGGTCATTGATAGGGAACTACAGACGGCCCCACCAGAACAACAGCAATGCTTACTGCCATGAAAGCGATCACAAGAGGAAAACTGCCATTAGGCATGGAGGGAGAATCTCTGCAGAACAAACACTAACTGCCACCCTCAAAAATTCAGCTGGGCAAGCTGTGACCCCCACATCAGACAAGAGTCATTATGCAATCTCCCACAGTGCAGAGTGCCAATGTTGTCCCTCTTGGTACAGATTGTCAATCTGATACCAGTTGCTGTTTTAATGATCCATTTTTAAAGTGTTCATCTTCAATAAAGATTCTGGAGGGTTTTTGTATATAGGTTAGGGTAAGCTAGCATAAGCATTTTGATACCAATTCGAGCATTAATTTCAGTAACAAAATTGACGATGCATGGAATATTACAGTAATAACTTTCTTCACATTAAATATCTTTGTGGTATGGGAACATAAAAAAAAAAATCCCTCCTGGTTTTGTTTAGAATTTTTTCAAGCCCTCTGAGTATTCTTTTAGGTATTAAAGCAAGCATAGGTGCAGTACAATCAGATAAAGATCTAATATATGCAAGGTACATAATTTGAATTATAATATTTACACCATAGCCTGGATAACAGTTGTAGAGAATAAGGAACGACTTATGCCAAAATATAAAACCAAATAGCAAATATACCGATTATAAAGATAAAATAAATTTTACCTGAAAGACCAAAAATTAAAAACTTTTTTTAAATACTTCCTTACCTCCGAGGGAAGTTCGCGCTTTTCCCCAATATCATCATCATCTTCATTAGATACAGGCTTTTTTCTGCATGAACCTCTTTTAATAGTATAGTCCAATATCACCACTTCCTTCTGATTTTTCCTGGCAGCTTGAGCCAAGGTGTGTGAATTTCCTTTCTTGGATTTAGACTTTTTTGTTAATGTGCTTGTAACTCTTGGAGTATCTCGTTTCTCAAAAAGAATACTGTCATCAAAACCTAGAGCACAAAAATATTTGCAAATACCAGTACAATAAATTGACAAATATTTTAAATATATAGTACACCATTGAATTTTCTTAGGTATTGTCACGAGTGAAACTCGTCACCATCCTACGTACCGCAACACCCATTGGAAGGAATGGGCCAGAACAAGGTGAACGAGTATTTCAGTAAAAGTAAGTTACAGTTATTCAGTGACATCACACTTTTCATACTAACTTCCATACTAATAAACACTATACCATGTATTGTAAAATACTGTACTACCAAACTAGATAAATACTAATACAGTCTGTTCTCACTACATTCAAGTTCAATATATGAAACATTCCCTATATACAAGGTATGTACTGTACTCAATACCAACATTTCCGAAATATGAGCACAAGTGTAGGGCGGACAGTCCTCATGCTGCCCTTCAAGTGTTCTAGTGGCCAAAGCAATACACACCAAGATTCTATCAACAGCTATACCCTACTTTCTCATGCGCCTGGGTGAATGTTTAACATAAAAATCTATTCAATATTTACTTCATACTAACCCATTCTTTCCACCTATCGTTAATCTCCATTTCATTATCATTCCTTCTGCCTATCCTTCTAACACCACACGTGCTTCTCAGACTCTCTTCCTCTACTGCTTTAACTCGACTTGTTCAAGGTCATGTCCCACCAATGATTCATAATCACACAACAGAGATGGAGCAACTGCACTTATGCCCCCCTCTAGCAAAATCCCTTTCTAGCTTGCTTGTCAATAGATGAAAATGCAACCCATTTATTTATGCAATAGGCAGCCATGTACACACAATTTACATCCTTAATATCATCCTACTTCTTTATCAATCCATGAAAAACATTCAGCAGGACCTTACCAAAATCATCCATCAATTGAAGAATAGGCTTTTTAAAAGTTCTCTTGTCCTTTAACTGGCATCCTCTTGTCGGCAAATCTAGTTCTGCATCTACACAGTCTTCTTCACAAAATGCATCACTAACATCACTGTCATCTGATGGAATTTCCGTAACTATTTTGAATCCATCGCTAGTTTTTCTTGGTACTCTTAAAGCATCTTGGGTTTTTTTATCAAAATCATGGCTAACATTTACTGCTGACAATTCGTCATCATCACTGTCATACTCAAAGGCATCAGATACATCAGAGTCATCCTTGGGGATAGACGAGACAACTTTATAGCCATCCTCGGTTACCTTCTCTCTAGTTCTGGTGGGTTTCAGTCCTGGTTTATCGGAACTTTCATTCTTCATTTCCTGGGTATCACATGCTCTCTCAACATTGACCGAGAATGTATTACAACTCTCTTTCTTTTCCTTTCCTATTGACATTTTCTTTTTAATTCTCCTACCATTATCTACTTCTTTAACAGAATCTAATATAGTCATATTTTCTGTTCTTTTCTTTTCATTTGAATCAATCACCATCTGTCTCTTTTCTTTCTTTGGAGTTGGAAGTGATGACTCTTCTGATTTTGTTTTTAATGTGCTTTCATGTTTATTTTTCCTTTTAATTTTCTTTGCATCACTTTTTAAAGAAATGTCTTCAGAGTTGACTGCATTGTCACCCAACAGATTATCAACTGTAAAGAGTGAGAAGTAAAACAAGTTACAGTAATTACAAAACAAGAATGTGAATGTTTAAATCTGATAATTGTCATGAAGACAATTACACCATATTACTAACACTCGATACATTAAACACCTGACAATTTGGTATATAGTACTGTAATTCATTCCAGAGGCATTCTGGACCAGGAAATTTTACAGCTACAGTTACTGGTATATCCCTGTAACCTGATGTAAACCAAAGTTAGCAGAAAAAATTAAAGCAGTATGAAATTTGGCAAATTTGACTTATGCAGGAGTGAGCAGAAAAGATGAAACCAGGAGACGCAGACAGATCCCATCCACAAATTGTTTGTGTAGTTGCAGATCAGGAAGATAACTCCAGGGTCGGATCCTAACTCCTTCCTTTAATGATGAGTAGGAGAACCCTAGAACCTTGCAGGAGGGTAACAGAAGACCCACAAGAAACTGAATACAGTCATAACTGCAGCAGGAAACCTCAGAAACCAACCTCCCTCAATAGAACAAACCCAGAACTGAAGAATTCATATGATTACCAACCAAAGGCCAGCATTTGCATATCTGGCAAATGAAACATGGAAAATAAAACAAATGCAGTGGGGAAAAGGAAACCTCAGGGTTTATACCAGACATTCTGGAAACCCAGAGATTGAGGAACTTAAGAACCCTGCAGCATCAGGCAGCACCTTGGTAAGAAAACAAAGGAAGATATATATGCAGCCATGTCAAGAAGGATTACTTACACAACTAAACTGTCCCCTTGGCAAAAGTGCAGTCCAAACATGCAGGGACTTTACACTTTCACCACTCTGCCCTGCTCACTTTGCAAGAGCTGGACCAAACACAAGCACTTAGCTAACTACTACCCTCCACATCAACAGGCCTCACAGTTGAGTTGTGGTTCTGTGCTATACCCAACCCATCCTCATGAAATGATAGTACTTGTAGTAACTATTTAGTCTAAAGTACCAATATGTAGTGATAGACCACCAGTAAACTACTTTTGTACTATTGATTTTATAGTCTGGAAAAAATCAAGCTATACACTAAACCTAAATATTCCTAGGCCTAGTATGGCACATATATGTACTATATTAGGCCTAAGATAGCATGAATTAGGCTCAGGAGAGGTTAGGGTTTTATATGTTGCTGTTAAAAAAAAAAAAAGTACAGTATGTATCTGGTTTGTCCAAATTCAATAATAAAGAGAGTCAGCTTTCTGGTGATCACTACATATTAGTACGTTCGATCAAATAGTTACTACAAGTATATAACACATTTTAGGGGGGATGGGCTGGCTTTACCCAGAAGTGAGGAGTCATACGAGAAGCCAGCCCCTTAGAGGAGGAATCCGAACCTCTCAGCACAGGTGCAGTGTCGAGGCGAGAGGGGGAGAATGAAGCCTACTACCAAAAATATTCCATCACAACAAAATACAGATCGTCAAAAGCTTAATACTATACTGTAAAAGAGCATAAAATACTTCAACAATAAGTAGCAACAGCAACATGTAATTACCATTGTGAAAAATTTAAAGCTCATGAAATCAGCTAGGTTAAATTGTAAACAAAATGGTGCTGATATAGTCACCAATTACAGTACAGTATAGTATTGTAGGATGAAATTAATACTTACAATATTGGCTCAGCAGGTTATTTAAATTCATGTCCATTTTATAAATCTTGAACTGCTGGAGTCCTGATGAAGTATATATATAAAAAGAGAGACCAACCAGTAGTATTATATTGCTTCACTTCTCTTTTACAGCTTTGTCATAGGTCTTTCTTTTGGAGAGTTTTTTCTTCAACTTTTAAGATTTTCTCCTGGAAGCTATGCAGTTCATGACTCGATGCCTGTGTTACATTCTAATATAACTCCAACACTTGTTAGTTCCAGGATTATAACTGCACCTGAAAATACAATTAGATTATTTCTACATGTATTTCAACTCCCATACCAGAAACGGTTGAGGGCCAAGGTGCTAACACAACTACAAACCAGACATGACCGGGCTGATCTCATCGAAACTTTTAAAATACAGTACTGAACAAGTAGGAGGATATTGATCCAGACCAATTCTTTAAAAGGCCAAATGTAACACAAACAAGGACCAACAGTTTCAAGCTCAATTAGCCACAATGTAGACAGAAAACGGGAGATGCTTTTTCACTTAAAGGGTTATAGGCCTCTGGAACTTCCTACCTGCTGTAGCTGGAAATGCCAAAAATACTGCTGAAATTCAAAATCCAGTTTTATAATATCATCCGGACAAATTGGGGGACCTTTAACAAGCTTCTGGCGCCCTGTCCTCATCAAAGCCATTAGAGAGAGAATGGCCCTCAGGTATATTTGGGTAAATGTATAGATTTTAAATGTCTTTAAACAATTTACAGTACAATAATAAAATTAATTACAGTTTGCAGTCTTGAGATAATTATGCCTCTTCCAATGGCATAACTAAATACAAAATTACTACTGTACTTTGATACTGTAATTTCACAACAAATATATTTTTCATATTAGAATTCAGGTCTTAGGCCAAGCACTGTAACCTGGTTAAGAAATTCAGTCCAAATTTTCTTCAAAAACCAATCTGCCAATTCGGACCATCTTGGATCATTATTAAGTCGTCGTCTCCTCATCGTCTGTCATGTGGTTTAATTAAAATATCTTCAAGCCACGTTATTGTGACTCATCATCTGCAGACTTATGATTGAACAGCAACACTGTACAGTATTTGTAAATTTGTGAAGATGTAAAAAGCGAGAGGAAAATATATTCAAGCGACTTAAAATTACTATGTCAATTTAATTAAGCTTTTTAAAATGTATAAAAGATTGGTAGATTTTATTTAATGCTAACAAATGTTGAGCTTTATATCTAGCTAATAATAACAGTTACCAAGCCCTGCATTGCAGTGACCAGTGCATTTAGCTCACAATAGAAAAAGTCTTTGGTTCGTTTCCCCAAGACAGGAATGAGACCTAGCAATAATTAGGTACCCAGAGTGGATACACGTCCCATTGTACACAAGGCAGTTGGGATATGGCCAAATCGGATGCAAGATGGTTCGACAATGCTTGCTTTCCCGATTGCTAAACCATTTACCGTACATTGTTAGGTTTGGAAGTATTAGCTTGGGTTAGGAATTAACAGGTAGAATCATCAACAGGTAGACTGTGTTAGAATTGGTTGGACTAGGATAGATGGGTTTGGTTTGGTTAGGTTAGGTTCAGTAGGTTTTAAAACTCATTCGCAAACTGTCTTGTGTACGATGTGACTCGTTTCAAGATGATTCACCAATATACTTTAAAAAACCTACCTAATTTTACTAAATCTAACTGAACTCAAACCAAGCTAACCTAAAACCCGAGCCAAACCTAATAATACATATACCATTTTAACAAACAGAAAAGATAATTTGACTAATAGTTTTGTCTACAATTTAACCTTTGCCTCCCGGCAAATTATGCAGCTGTTGCATCTTATAAAAAGTCAATAATTGGCCTAAGAGGAGCCAATAGTACAGTCGGATTTATTATCGACGCACAATCCGGAATCCTGGGTTCGAATATCAGACGGGACAGAAAGGGTTGGGTGCATTTCATATCGCCTAATGCCCCCCTTATTCACCTAGCAGTAAATAGGTGCCATAGGAGTTGGTTAGCTTGTTGTGGGGTATGCTTGCATCCTAGGAAAAGGGGGGGGGGGAAGGGTCAGTAGTTCGACCTTTCAACTGGGGGGGGGAGGGGTAAGTAAGGTAAGTAATAAACATTCATTCTTGTAGGTAAGTTACCTACACTAATGTTATCCACTTCCCTGAGCCAACTGATCATTTGGGTGTTGTATCTCACAACCCCTTAGCCTCCTCTTAGCCCCTGTTACCTAGCAGTAAAATAGGTACCTGGTTGTTAGTCAGCTGTCACGGGCTGCTTCCTGGGGGTGGAGGCCTGGTCGAGGACCGGGCCGCGGGGACACTAAAGCCCCAAAATCATCTCAAGATAACCAGAGATCACAAGGTACGGCGGGACCAGCCTGGGACAAACGTGGTCAATGTTATGACAACAACAACCACATCTCACCACAACAATGTTATTGTCTCAGACCCTGTTGGAATATAACCAGTCTGTCAATCGGGTCAACCCAAGTGTTGCGTTTCCATGCGTTTCCAAAAGGGTCGCCCATATTAGAATCGGTGAACGCCCTAGTAATATTGTTGAAAACATCTTAATAACTTATTAAACCAAAGGTCTTTTTATGTCAGAAGAACGGCAGAAACTAGATCTATATATGAAAACTCTTTCAGGACAAAATTTAAAGTAAAACTAGATTATGTAAAACTAGATTAAAGTAAGATTATGTTTCTATCTTTCTTGAGACGTATAAAAATCTTACGTTTATTAACGATTCTGCGTGAAATAAGCATTGTTCTGAGATGAATATTGCGGATTTCCGGCTCTACGACCGATGAAAAATGCAACTTTATACAACTACAAATATCTTTAGTTTTACTTTAAATTTTGTCCTGAAAGAGTTTTCATATATAGATCCAGTTTCTGCCGTTCTTCTGACATAAAAAGACCTTTGGTTTAATAAGTTATTAAGATGTTTTCAACAATATTACTAGGGCGTTCACCGATTCCAACATGGGCGACCCTTTTGGAAACGCAACACATGGGTTGACCTGATTGATATATGGGTCAGATTCTATTAAGGTTAGGAACATTTACACTGGCGGGCGGCGTTAAATAAATAAATATGTTTATTCAGGTAAGGTACATATATACAAGTGATGTTACATTAATGGATTGATATATAGATAGAGCTAGTACATACAATGCCTAAAGCCACTATTACGCAATGCGTTTCGGGCAAGTTCTTGGCGTTCTTGCCAACTATATGGCTGTTAAGTTGAAAATTGTAACTGTTAAGAGCATTCTATTGTGGTTTTAATATTGAACAATTATACATATACGAAACAGACAAATCTGGTGTCCGAAATAGTAAAAATATTAGTGTGCGATGTGATCAATGTAAGGGGGATATTGGGTGTGCCTCGTATCCCCTACAACAACAAGAAGTTCGAGAGCGATGAGGCCGCCACCTACTAGCTTCAGGATGTCGTCGAATCTAAATCAACAATATACTACCGCCGCTACTTTCTCGGAAACGTAAGTACCTGCCGCTTTACTTCTCTCACCCTGCCTAGCCTGGCCTGGCCTGACCTGGCCTGACCTGGCCTAGCCAAACCTGACCAGACCTGACCTGGCCTAGCCTTACCTAGCCTAGTCTGACCTGACCTGGCCTAGCCTTACCCAACACTAATCACCACACGTGACAGCCCAAACAAATCGCAAATAAGTACACGTAACAAGTCATATGCCCGGACACTCTTTCACCTTGGGGACTGAGTGGTAACTATTGTATAGAAGAGCCGGCTCCCTGAGAGTGGTAAGAGGGCGTGATAAGAGGCTAACGTGTGGTCTTGAAGGAAGTCGATAAAGCAGACAATTTTCAAAAGGAAGGGCAGCATAACGAGCAGACAGGAATGGACAGACAGTCGGTTATCCCATAATGTGTAATACGCCCCGCACAGCATGGGAACCCTCTACTGAAGCCTCGTGTGCTTTCTGTGGTGGAGGAGTGGACAGAGAAGGGCGTCATCTCTTAGTTGTAAATTAACAATATCGTCATTCCTTTCTATCGTTAAAAAGTAGACGGGCGAGTGGGTTGTGAGACAATACGCTTACTCCCAACACTCCGGAAGCGCATTAACACAAGAGGAAAGATAAATTATATCAACTGTTTTTTTTTATTTTAACTTGAATGTATCCTCTGACGTCTGACTCCATTACTAGCCTGCGGTCCTGCCTTGTTGATTACTGTATATGTTAAATAAATGTGTATGTGATCTTGTTGCTGACTGTAAAATATTTTTTGGGTTTTATCCTTTTTTACTTTTGTATATAAATATATTTTTTCCACATAAGCACTAACGAATTTATTAAAATCTATGGTAAAGTAGGAATCGAAAACGATATTGAGGTCTTACTACATGAACACCACAAACGGTCAGACTACTGGCAAATGCTTTTCAGTATTGAGTTTTAGTTTATTTCATTTATTATGCACCCCATACCCATCTTGTGGGCGGTAGTGGAAAGGGTTACAGAGGCACATAATGGGCTCAGGGACTGAACCCCACAATTCATTTAGCTAAGCAAGTTACAATCTTGATGAGCTAGTTACAAAATTCAGTATAAGTCGTCACATATTGAAAAATGCAAGACCTTGCATGTAGGGCACAACAGTACACATCACAACTATCATATAAACAACTCTACCATATAACAGATTCATGAAGTAAAGGTCCTAGAAGTTTTTATTCACAAGTCATTGAAAAAACGTTACAAGTGAGAGCTGTAGTAAAAAAAAAAAAATAGGAAAATCAAACGAACCTTTGACTTGAAGGAAAATAAAACGGTTATTAAATTGTTCAAATCTATGGGTCGCCCTGATCTGGACTGCTGTAGGAAGGCGTGGAGACTCCACCTTCAGAGGACATACTGTTATGGAGAAAGTTCAACACAGCTACAAAAAGCTTTCCAGAACTAAGTCAATTCTCATACAAGAAACGGTTGAGGGCCTCAGGACTAGCAACATTGCAAACCACACATGACAGGGCTGATCACATCGAGACCTTCAAAATGCTGAACAAGTTTGAGGATATTAATTCAGGCCACTTCTTTAAAAAGGTCCACTGTAACGCATAGGGTAGCGGCTTCAAGCTCAACAAGCCACAATATAGGACAGAAAACAAGATGAATTTTCACCCCACAGGGTTATAAACCCATGGAACCGCCTACCCGCTGAAGACGTTAAAATGCAAAGGACGTTAAAAATGTACACTTTACTTCAAATTCCAGATGTAAAAAATCCTTAGAAACAATGTTGGAACTTTCAAGAAGCCGCTGGCTTCCTGACCCCGTTGATCCCACTAGAAATGGTGACTATCTGTAGAATGTGAACTGGTTCTAAATATGGATGGAAAGGGCGAGCAAAGCAGTTACAGCCCCACTCCTGTGCCAGGTAAGTCCACTACGGGCTCACCATAGCCCGTGCTACTTGCCCCGCTCTTGTGCCAGGTAAGTTACGGGCTCACCATAGCCCATGCTACTAGGAACTTGTTCCAAGTTGTTCCAACTTCGTAGAGCCGGAAATCCACAATATTCATCTCAGAACAATGCTTATTTCATGCAGAATCATTAATAAACGTAAGATTTTTATACATCTCAAGAAAGATAGAAACATAATCTTACTTTAATCTAGTTTTACATAATCTAGTTTTACTTTAAATTTTGTCCTGAAAGAGTTTTCATATATAGATCTAGTTTCTGCCGTTCTTCTGACATAAAAAGACCTTTGGTTTAATAAGTTATTAAGATGTTTTCAACAATATTACTAGGGCGTTCACCGATTCCAACATGGGCGACCCTTTTGGAAACGCATGGAAACGCAACACTTGGGTTGACCCAATTGACAGACTGGTTATATTCCAACAGGGTCTGAGACATTTACACTGGAGGGCGGCGTTCTTGCCAACTATATGGCTGTTAAGTTGAAAATTGTAACAGTTAAGAGCATTCTATTGTGGTTTTAATATTGAACAATTATACATATACGAAACAGACAAATCTGGTGTCCGAAATAGTAAAAATATTAGTGTGCGATGTGATCAATGTAAGGGGGATATTGGGTGTGCCTCGTATCCGCTACAACAACAAGAAGTTCGAGAGCGATGAGGCCGCCACCTACTAGCTTCAGGATGTCGTCGAATCTAAATCAACAATATACTACCGCCGCTACTTTCTCGGAAACGTAAGTACCTGCCGCTTTACTTCTCTCACCCTGCCTAGCCTGGCCTGGCCTGACCTGGCCTAGCCAGACCTGACCAGACCTGGCCTAGCCTTACCTAGCCTAGTCTGACCTGGCCTAGTCTGACCTGACCTGGCCTAGCCTTACCCAACACTAATCACCACACGTGACAGCCCAAACGAATCGCAAATAAGTACACGTAACAAGTCATATGCCCGGACACTCTTTCACCTTGGGGACTGAGTGGTAACTATTGTATAGAAGAGCCGGCTCCCTGAGAGTGGTAAGAGGGCGTGATAAGAGGCTAACGTGTGGTCTTGAAGGAAGTCGATAAAGCAGACAATTTTCAAAAGGAAGGGCAGCATAACGAGCAGACAGGAATGGACAGACAGTCGGTTATCCCATAATGTGTAATACGCCCCGCACAGCATGGGTGGAGTGGGGGGGGGGGGGTTGTAGCAGGGCACAGTATGGTGATGGTGCGGGTGAAGTACACACCCACTGAATTCCTGCCATCAATAATTGTTTTCATAACCATTAGAACAATGGCATCCCTCCAGCCACTATCCTTCCACTGACCCCCTCCTCTGGTCCTCCACCTCAGACAATAACCCCCCACACCCCCTCTCCCTTCCAGACATCAGCATGTCAAAATCAGTACCATAATGTGTTTAAACTATTTAAACTAAGTCATTGTGTATCTCAAGGTATCTTAATTCATTTGAAAGTGTACATGTGCATTCGTTCATATACTCGCCTAATTGTGCTTGCTGGGGTTGAGCTCTGGCTCTTTAGTTCCACCTCTCAACCGTCAATCAACAGGTGTACAGGTTTCTGAGCCTATTGGGCTCTTATCATATCTACACTTGAACCTGTGTATGGAGTCAGCCTCCACCACATCACTTACTAATGCATTCCATTAGATATAATCATATATGATTACACATAATCATAATCATTCCATACACATAATCATATATGTGTACGTCAACGTATACATACATGCGTATATATACCTCATATTAAAATACTGATAAACGAATGACCATGAACAAATTAATTTATAATTGTAGCATTATATATAATTTTAATAGACTAATTACGTGTTTATACATTTGAATGGTCCAGACAGGTGGCCAGCCTTGGACATATACACTTCTGGTAGGCACAATGACCTCATGTTAGACCCTTGATAGATTATGTGAGAGAGAGAGAGCTGGGGCAGGGAGGTGCGTGCCCCAGGGAGATAATCCATGCCCATGCCCCGCCTCGAGGTCAGTTCTCGAGTCACACCAAGAATAACAATCGAGCAAGTTGTCCTGACCAG